TGAAGAAAGCATATTAACTCAGTACCCTGAAATTATTTTTATTTTTAAAACTCTATATGTTTCGACCTTTAGGCCATTTACAAGAGTAACATTTAACCTCACTTCAAACACAAACAAATTAATTAACAAATAAACATCATGTGATGATCTTTACATATGATTTTTCTTTTTTCTTAAAATGTATAGTAAAATAATCTTTGGTCATGGAATTTTGTCATATATATATATATATAAAAATGTTAATATGGTTGTTTAATTTATCCTCCTCTTGATGTTTGTGTTAAATATTCTTTAATTTTAAAATTTTTTCATATATAGGATTTTGTTTCTTAACTTGCATTGTATTGATTATATTTGTTGGATCATTCTTGTAGCTGCAGTATATATGATATTCTTCTTTTGTATCAAATTTATTTCCTTTTGATCCATAGTCCAAAACTATCATATCTGTTTCTATTTTAGTGAATTTATGATTCTCATTAAGCATGTGTTCTGCTACATTACTTTTCATACTAGTCACATTCTTTGATTTAAAAGCTTGTACATGTTCTTTATATCTACAATTGATCGACCTTCCTGTCTGTCCAATGTAATACTTTTCACAATCTGAACATTTAATTTTATAAATACCGGAGTTTTCATATTTTGATGTTACAACTTGGTTGTTATCTTTTTTGGCTCTTTTATTAATTACTTCTAATGCGTTGTTTTTGGTTCGGTAACTTACATTTAATTTAGAATTTTTGAATGTTTTCCTGATTGCTCTATTGAATTTACTATTATATGGAACACAAATAAAATCATTCTTTTGTTTTTCTGTTACAATTTTGTTCTTCTTTTTCATTTGTTTTTTCTTAATCATGTTTTCTATCATTCTAGGGTTGTATCCATTTTTAAATGCCAAGTATTTAATTATATTCTTTTCTTTTATGAAATTAGATTTGTTCATCGGGATATTGATCAACCTATTTGTTAATGCATGTAATGTAGACATCTTTTGTTCCCACGGGTGGTTTGAGTCTGCTGGTATTATACAGTCACTTGTAGTTGGTTTTCTATAAATTTCAAAGTTATGAGATCTATTTTCCTTTGAAATCGTCACGTCTAGGAAATTTATTTTGTTCTCTTGTATCTCTTGAGAGAATTGTATTGTGTTTGATAAGGAGTTGATATAGTTTAAAAGTCTTTTTGATTCTTCTTCCGTACCTTCAAATAGACATATTATGTCATCGACATATCTGAACCAATATTTTATTTTATAAATAAAATATTTATAAAATAAATATTTTATAAATATTTATAAATATTTTATAAATATTTTTTATAATTTTAAAAAAAATATTATAAACATGTAATATTATAAATATTATAATATTTAAATATTATTTATAATATTTAAATATTTATAAATATTATACATATTTATATATTTATAATATATAAATATATAATATTTATATATTATAAATATTATAATATAATATAATATTATATTATAATTATGGTCGAAACATGTAGAGTTTTAAAAATAAAAATAATTTCAGGGTACTGAGTTAATATGCTTTCTTCATTATATATAGATTTATATATATATATATATATATATTAAATATTTAAGTAAATAAGTACAACTGAGCACCCAGTATATTATATTTTATAAAAAGAAGTGACATGTTTCGGACATTAGTCCATTTTCAAACTTCAAAATACATTATACACTTAACTGTTGTTTATAATATAAACAACTCATAACTTCAAAATACATTATACACTTAACTGTTGTTTATAATATAAACAACAGTTAAGTGTATAATGTATTTTGAATTTTGAAAATGGACTAATGTCCGAAACATGTCACTTCTTTTTATAAAATATAATATACTGGGTGCTCAGTTGTACTTATTTACTTAAATATTTAATATATCAGCAGCCCTTACGTGAACACATAAATTAATACATATATATATGTGTCCGTGAACACGATAACTTGAGCAATTTTTATCCGATTTTGATGAAATTTGGTTTGAAGGTGTAAGGCGGGATAAACTTGAATGAGTTCGCGATCCAGCATGATCGGACCATGGGAACAGGGTTTTATGGGGGGTTTATGGGGGGTTTTATGGGGTAAAAATTGGTTTTTCTCACTTCTTACCCTCAAAACACAAAATTTCCCAATTTTTCTCTAAACCTTCTTAAAGAGCTTAAAAAAAACAAACAATTCAGTATATCAAAGTGTTTTTGTACGGTTATTGGTTACGGAGAAAACTAAAAAAATGGTAAATTTAAAATTCCCATGTTATTCTTATGGAGAATATTGTAAAATGTTGTAGTTTGCTTGTTAATGGATATATTTGGATCAAACTTGGAAAATTTATTTATTTTATAGTAAGCTATCAATATTTTACTAAAAACACACTACTTTATTAGTTTCCTTGTAGCAGCAAACATAGGTACTCGTTAAACCTAATGTTATTTAAATACAATTGAAAATCAATTCGGCCAAATGGAAATTCGCTTAGACGGCAGGTTTGCTGCGGCGGGGGTATTTATAACCAATGTGGCCTCTGTCATCGTCACCCGCGGGGAAATGTTCTCGTTGATATCCGCGATCGTGGCAAAAGCGTAGGCCTAATCTTTCAATTTCGTGAGCGTGATCCTCACGGATATAAAAGCTTTTACTTTTAATTGTGCATTATTGTATTGAATACGGAGAAAATCGGCTCGAGCTTGATTTTATGACTTTGTGCTTGGCTCGATAATCGACATTATAGGCCTATATTATAAAAATCTACCGTTTCCAAAGCAACCCGATCTTGAACGCACTAAACATGTTACTAAGGGCCTCAGGTCAAATCAGATCGGTTCAAAATCGGGTTGTTTTGGAAACGGTTGATATTTATAATACAGGCCTATAATGTCGATTTTTGAGCCGAGCAGGAGCCTGGACTACAAGCTTGAGAGATCAAGCACAAAGTCAGAAAATCAAGCTCTAGCCGATTTTCTCAGCATTCAATACAATAATGCACAATTAAAAGTAAAATCTTTTATATCCGTGAGAGGATCACGCTCACGAAATTGAAAGATTAGGCCTACGCTTTTGCCGCGATCGCGAATATCGACGAGAACATTTCCCCGCGGGTGACGATGACGATGTCTCCGCGGTCGCAGATGTTCAATACCGCGGTTGCGGAAGACGATAACGACGTTTCTTTTTTAGCGAGAGATATATCTAGGATTTAGCCGCGATTACGGAAAAATGATTTACACCGTCACCACCGACGGGTCGCGGGGACATATTAGGCCGTGATATTAGATTGGGCCGTGAACGCGGGAGACGATGATGCTGCTATCTATAATGATGTCATAGGTTTGGTTGCATTTGAAATCCCGGTAAACTATGATAATGTTTCTTCCATGACTTATGACTACGGGAAGTATTAACGATTTTGCCGCGATCGTGGAAGACGATAATGACGCCTCGGGAGATGCCTTGTCAAGTTTATTGCAAAATTGCAAGTTTAGGTGGTACATGGGAAAATGTGGTTAAAGATCATTGGGAGAGGGGGGCCCGGCGAAAAAACTTGCGAGGGGGCCCGCGGGTTCTTATCGCCGCCACTGGCAAGGCCACGAAAACCTTGAACAGAACCAGTACAAATAATGACGTAGCTGGCCCGAAAATAAACATTATTTAACATTGCTAAAAGTAATTGTCGAAATCATATAATAATGCTATTAGTATAGGATTCGGGGCAACGTGATTTGTTTATGATCCATACAAGTTCTGTTTGAGTATTTGTTGTCAGAGGACGCCGTTTATGATAGATGCACCATACAGCAAATTCCCCATAGAAAGGACTGCATGTCATGTCTAAGGTGTAGTCACGAACATTAAAAGGAACATGTTTGAAACATCACTAATTAAATATATATAAAATACACACTGTACTGTGTCTAGTCTATTGGGAGTATGTTTTATCTATGCTATTATCCATGGGCTTAACCATCTGACGTAATTATAAATGATTAAAACTTATGAAACATCTATATTTTTTAACTTGTGTTTTGTATCGAGCGATTCAGTACCACAGGTAGCCAAACATACTCCCTTAGTCATACTTATGTGTTTGTTAGTCTATGCCTATGCTTTACCTCTTAAGAGACAATTTTTATCACTTTCCTGTTCAATTTGATGGATAAGTTAACTGCTAATCTCATTTTTCAGCTCAGAAAATATTTTTAGTTGTATTTATTTGTATTGCCCACCCGCTTTAAGTTTGGTAATCTCAAAGAGAATTATTCATTTCACCTTTTGTATGTTGTGCTGGAAATATACTTGTGACGGGCAAGGAAGAGCCCGAACAGCAAGCACTGTGTGAAAATTCCAATCACACAGGGCACAGTCAGTGTCTTCCTCCACCGTGAGCGCTGTTAATCTGTGATGGCGAGGGGGTGGTGTTGGATTTTGCCCTGGACACCAGCACAAAGGTGGCTTTGTACTATGGCCTTTGTGTATGGTGGCTTTGTGCTAGCCACCTAAGTTTACCACTGAATGTCTTCTCAGGGCTCAAGAAGCTTAAAATGACAAGTTTGATTCTATCTACACCATGGTGGTACTTGAAGGAGTGATACCATATCATCAAAACAGTCAGTCGTCACAAAGTCATTATACCACTCAATTATCCAAACTGCTGCCAAAAATAATCACAATTCATTATCTGATAATGGATAATTGAGGTTGATGCATTTTCTAACAAATCAGTGAAATGTCACTGATGTGAAACATTTTAAATACTTGATCTATCAAACTTTTCAATAACATGCATTAGCAATTTCTTGGTTTGAACATCAAACAAGTTTTAGTAGTTTTTACGGTTCAAAATGGTATATGATTTTTTTAAATTCATTGTTAATAAGGTGTATGATTAACAACAAAATGGAATCGGCTTAAAATTATGAATACACTGGGGTAAATAAAAAACTTTGTTTACAAATTATACATAAATAAAATTATTATTTTATAATTCACATAAATTTTCATAATGAAAAGAAATATGTGACATACTTACAACAAATATATGTTTTCACATTTCCAAACTTAACAGAAAATGCTACATAATTTGTTCCATAACATCATCAAAAGTGCTTCAGATGATAACTGCTGGTAAACATCTTCCAATATCAACCATCTTATTCCTAACAACTCCTTTCAACACTTCAGAAAAATATTTTCTATATTTTCAAGTATACAGTAAAAAAATACATGACTTGTTTTAGTATTTTATATATGTTTAGAGACAAATGGGATGAGTTTGTAAACACTAAAAGCAGGCCAAATAAGTTAACTGTAAGAATACCATTTCCTAATAAATAGCCTACATATATAAGAAAAGCTCTAGATTACAGTAAACCCTAGAGGGTAGTCAATTGAAAACATAATATGGATTGTACATAGCCGTATATATGTTTGTGTCAAGTAAATTAAGCATATAAGGAAATGGAGGTTAGTAAAGAATGTTTATAACTTTTTAAATTCCTTGACATCTCTCTAAATATCCTCGAGCCATCCTGCTTACAATAATACTGGCCAAACTCTTCCGTAGGAACTAAACAAAAAACTTCTTGTCAGGTTCATTCTCTATTAAGATAAAATAGTTCATTCTTAACCTACTGTGATGAACTATACTGTTGTCACAACCTAAACTAAGTCTGACTAGAAGACTTGTCATTTGATACACTTGATGTAGAACTTCCAAGCGACTAGTAGTGTAGATGTAAGCGTGACCGCTGAGTGTAGCGCTTTCCGTCGGTAGTTGTCTTTCCTGACCAGCACGACTGGTGAGCAGGAGGCCAAGGCGTGTGTAGCGAGCGAGTGTGGGTCTTTGCTCACCTGGTACTGACAACAAGGGTCCATCTGCCAGGAGACTGTGTATAGACCGGTGCACAGCAACGATGTGCAAGCCAGGGGTACGAACAGGGCTGGACTGTCTGGCCACGCAAAACCTACCAAATAGACTTAAAATAACATCTAGGTAATACAGATTAACTGACATGTTTTATAAACTAGATGAATCAGTTAACTTAGACCTATTATAGAATAGTATTTTGGAAATAAATTAATGAGAAACTTTTTTATCCTTTCTTTTTAAATTATTCCTTATAAAAAATTTGTTCCTTAAAGAGGCTTAAGCTGAAATATAGTAGAATTTTTTATGTTAAAAAGTAAATGAGTTAACGGTTTATTTTTTGTATTGTATAAGCAGTATGGTAACACTATGAAGAAACAATAATTAAGTAACTAGATAGGGCCTAGTCTAAATGTTACTTTGTCTTTCAACATGAAAGTCACCATTATGTATGCTGATATCACAGGAAATTTATGTTTCCCGATTGACTAGAATTTCGGTCAAGGAAAAACAAACAGCAAATTTTTTTACTTTCTTATTTTAGGTACTTTTTCTGGTTTCTAATAAATCTTATTTATTCAATCACCGTAAACACTGATGTTTCTTTTCATTGTTTCCTTACGTTGTGTCCAAAGAGAAGAAAGAAGTTACTGTTTTATTTGTTCCTTTTACTTTATAAAATTTTCTCATTTCTTTCTTATCATATAACATAATACAGCTCGCTCCCACGCACGAGTTCTTAACATGTGGGAATAATTTTGTTTATGTTTTAGCTATACAGTCATCTTAAAACTTGCTTCTCATTGTAGTATAGGTAGGGTTGCCATATCCCCGGATTTCCCCGGAGATTACCGGATTTTGACGTTCAAAGTTTAGCTCCAGGGGATTTCTGCAAAAAGTGAGAAATTTCTCTTTTTTCACTCTCTATTAAAATACATTGTATTACGGAACTTTTGGAATAAAATAAAGGTTTGGGCTCGCAAATATTGTTTTGCAATGACTGTGGTGAAAAACTCTTGTTTTCTTTTTCAACATTTTTTTTATTCCTTAGTTTCACTTTGGTTTGGCCAGCAACGTCCTTTGTCCTTAGTTTATCGTCTGTTTCACAGCTCCCAGTCCTTCAATTTGCGTCTGCCGGCCAGTCCAAAGTCCAAAGTTATCCCAACCGTGTTCACTCCCTACCAAAGCCGAACCGAGTCTAGCAGACAGAGAGGGTTTTGTTTATGTTATTTGATATTTTTAGTGAGATGTGATAAGCAAGATGTAAATTTTATGCTTTCGCGTACCATATTTTGAATATTGATATTGTAGCACGAATATTGAACAGAAACGGTATAGATTAATAAACATAAACAAATGACGTCAATATGCCTAGCCGGAAAAACTGGTTTGGAAGTTTTTGACAGTTCCATTTAAATATTAATAAAAAAGTATTTAAACTTACAACCCAGTGACATAATTTTTTTATTTGTATGACCCATACCGTTTCTCTATAATATTTGTGCTATGTAGGTAGGCCTATACAATTTTGCTAGCCCGTATATTTTTATTTACTGTAGTGGGGGCTGCCAGCTAAAATCTCCTCTTTTCTACAAATTACCATATGACAACCCTAAGTATAGGCCTACAATATATTTTGTAAATATTGCCTATTTTGTATGTAATAAAAGATAGGTATTTTGATTTGATTTAGATGTAGTTTCGTAATTTAAATCAATAACATTAGGAATTAACTTAAGATGAAAAGTAGTGTTTATAGCTTGTACCAAAGAGCTTTCAGACACTTGCTTAATTAATTCTTGCTGATCAGCTTAGTCTCACATTTAAAATGATAAATTTACGATTTCAGTGCTGGGCGACGCTTTACAAAAAAAAACGTTAAACATTAAAAATGTTAGTTTGGGTTATATTAATTAGCACTAATACCGAAACCCCGGTCTGACAGGCCCACGGGAATTTTCAAAAACGCATGTTGGCAACACTGTTTACTTGGGAGGTTCCATTCCCCCAATACTATTCCCCCTTTTCCTCCCCTACCTATTGATATATTGTTTGTTCATTTTGCATGGGTGCCGTGACCTTGACAGGTTGTCTGTTCATAACATGCCTGTCTCCGAAGCCCATCGTTAGTGTATTTTAAAGCGGGGTCTCACAGGCCGAGGGTTTCGGTTTGTGTGTGTCTAAGCGGGGTCCATTATTTTTCAAATGGGGTCTCACAGACCGGGGCTTTCGGTAATAGTGTTAAGTTACCGTACTGTACTAGGTATGTCCAATTTTTAGCATCCAGAAATACGTAAATTTTTTGTTGTGGTGTTTCCGGACCAATTGATTGACAATAAATAAAAAGATTAAAATACCTGATTGTCGCCTTCTCGTCCAAGGTTTGTCCTACTGGACTAATAAAAAATGTCATTTTGATATGTCTACTTACAGTAGTTTTTCCACGCTGAATCCAAAAATGCAATCAGCAAGCTGAACAAAAATATGCAAAAACTTTGGATATTAACGGAGATACGGCCAAAAAACATTTTGTTTCCAGTAGGACAAACCTTGGACCAGAAGGCGGCATTCAGGTATTTAAAACTTTTTATTTAGGCCTATTCAGAAATATGTGTTTGCTAAGTTACTGAGTAGGCAAAACTCATAAATTATAAAAACTTACAATGTATCGTACTTTCCTGTTAAATGGAACATTCATTATTATCGATAATTTGTATTTCATATATTGATATTTTTGTTTTACTTCACGATTTGTATTTTTTCAGTTTGAATATCTTGAAATGCATTTAAATTACAAAGTAAGATCTACCCTTTATTAGGCAAAAATAATAGCTTATATATTGAATTAGGAAATGAAACTATTCTAAACTAGGCTAACCTAACATACTTTAACCAAACTTGCTGTGGCTAAGTTACCGTTTCAAAATTCCGTTTGATAACAGAAAAGGCATATGGGGCTATCAAACTAAGATATAACATTTCAAAGAATTTTGAAATGTTACAGCAAGTTTGGTACCGGTAGGTTCTAGGTTAGTTTAGAACAGTTTCATTTCAATATAATATATCCTTTATATACAATACATGAAGGCGATTTCTACAAAACACTGCTTCTCCATTAATAATGGACGGATTTTTACAAACGATGTGTCAAAATTCAGCATTTTTTGTATAGACACCTCCTTTTACCAATTCCTGTAATAAAAGTCTTTGGGCTTTGCCCAACAGGTCATCAAAATCTCAATGTATTTCTTGTGAAGAAAATATTTTGTTTACTTTAACAGACCAATAATTTGTATTGATTACAGCTGATCATAGTAAACACACATAATACAAACAAGAGCAATCGTTTTCAGTTTCGATAACTGAAGTGGAGTGAGCGTTCGTTTTCAGAGTGAGTTAGTTTCCAGTTTCAATAACTGGAGTGCTGCGATTGATTACATTATCTTTGAGTTGACTCTTTTAACATCGGAAATTGTGACTGTTATTGGTTTTGAAATATAACGCCTGTAATACCTTACAATTGCTCGAATTCGAGCAACAAGTGCTCTAGTCTTTTAAATTGTTTGTTGATACTGAACAATATTTGTTTACTGTATCCTTATCGTAGTTGTCAGCTGATGTGTTTCAAATCGATAATAATGAATGTTCCCTTTAACATGAAAGTAAACTTACCCAATGTTTTTATATTTGGTTCTTGGGTTTTTTTATATTTTATATCACAAGCACAAGGGCCATTAAAAAAGCAAGATAAGCAATAAAAAAACATCCTTAAAAAGTAGGTATAGGAGCAGGCCCATTATAGGATTACCTGTGACAATGGAACCTAGACCAGCAACTACGGCTGTTTTGTGCAGACAGTTTCCAACAGCTATCCATCGCGCTGTCTCATCACCTAGACGCGATGGTTCAATGATTATTGTATGACAACCAGCTTCTAGTGCCCTCTCCAGCTCTTCACCAAAAGCTTCATGAGCGTTCTCACTGTCATAGACCTCCCTGATGATAGCAGTTTCTGACGGATCATAGTCCCTATAATAATAGAGAGTAACATGTACCGGTACACATAGTTGGATTGTTGTATATCTTAAAACCAAAAACTGTGTGACAACATTTCAGATAATTGTCATAGACCTAAGCTATATAAAAAAAAGTACCTGAACTGGTCGACATTTACGGAACTGTGGCTTCTTAGTTCTGTGGGGTATTTCAGGGTTAACTTTGTATAAGTTTAATTGTATGTTAAGGTAATGGCCATTGGGGCTTTTCAATAAGCAAAATAGGCAGACAAAGGAGTTGAGCAAGATAGGGCTTAAGTTTTCTTTTAGAATGGTAAAAAGACTTTAACTTACTTTACATGAGTTGGTAAAACTTGTCTGTTCAAAAGCTTTCAGTGTTTCAGTATTATCTTTGTCTCAAAGATTCCAACCAGGTAGGTGTATGGCTCTGTGGAGTAGGAATTTTCACAGGTTTTGACAGGTAATTATACAGGCCTAGAGCACGTATATCCACTATATTATAAAAGGGCTACAAAATCAACTTAAACCCAAAACCTAATAATCAAACATCCAGATAAATAAGTAAGATACCTTAGGCCTAGGATAACGTGAAAGTTTATCTTTAAGTTTAAGTTCAGCACATTAATTCCATGTACCTTTAGGCCTGAATTTAAGTTGATTTATAAGGTCAATGACTTAGCCTACGTTTTACTCATTTTAATAATTTATTAGGCTAAAACGAGTAAAAACAAACATGGAATTTAACATGATTAAGTTTAGTAAGATGTCCTGTGACAATAGTTCAGTCATCAAACAAAAACCAACAAGACAAAGAAATTGGAAAATGGTTAGGGGCCTATGCCTAAGTTAATATACAATTTACCCTATTTATTATTTTGTAAATTACCTTTCACTGCCCGATGACATTTTGGTGAGTAATTTAACCTCAACAACGGAAGATAGATTAGGTATTAGTTAAATATTAACAGTAATCACAAACTTTAGGGATTGTGCATTGATTAGTAGTTATTTTCTATTGAAATTTAAATAAATTTAACTTGGGTTAGGAATATTATTAGAAGAGTCTGTCGTAATTCGTAATTAATTGCACTACACAAAAACACAGAAACACAATAATACACTTCTTGAAGCCGAACCCGAACCCGAACGAACGAACACTACGAACGGAACGAAACAAACACGATACGAAGGCCGTGGCCGAAGCAAAAAAGAAAAAAGGGAGAAGGCGAAGAACACAGATGAGTGTAAATTACAAATAAATTTGGGATTGGCTGTTTTGTTGCATAAAGATAAAAAATAATTTTCAAAAGGTAGATTATATTATAACCATGCAGCTCAAATGCTCTTTTCTTAAATGTTTTATAATAATACAAATCTGGGAGCTTTGTAAACGTTTGTAAACGTTTTATTGCAAAAAAAAAATACACTGGTACAGAGCAAAAGTCACTGAAGCTAAATATTGTATAATAACACTAAAACTTAAAACTAAAGATTCAGGTCCATTGCAAACAAGAATTTAACATAAATCTAAAGTTATTGTAAAACATATCAATTTGTATTTATTATCTTTGTCCGCTTACTAAACATGTGTAAAGGGGGATGAAATTTGCATTTAAAACCTATAGGTATTGCACATCATCGCACTTAAATAAAACCGGAAGTAAGTCTCGCATGCTCTTTTAGGATTTTAAATACAAGCAATTAATTACAGTAGTTTTAAAACGAAACTATTTATATCTTTGTTTTAAATTATAAATCAATAAAAAAATCGCATTACGAAATCTGCGTGAGACTATTTCCTCAATTGTCTGGGGGGTTTCTTACAAAATATGTGATTAAGTGTTAAACTTTGTAATTGTAAATTCCAATGACATTAGTAAAATAAATTACAGTATAGATAAATTTTAAATAATCATTGAACTACGTACATAATCAATGCCACAGCCATGTCATTTTTCTTTAAAAAATTTCTTGTAGACCTACGTGTCTTTATGCTGTCAAAACCTCATCTTCCTCCACCATTATCTTCAATTTCCATGATTCGTCAGATCAGCAGAACCGAAAAGAAACGAAACTATTCTAAACTAGTTGAGTGTTGAGTTGAGAAAGAAATATTCGGGAGTGATTTGGGTAGTGTTTACTACGATATTTTCGTCTTTGTTTGACTTGTGTTAATTTGGGTCATACCATTTTCTACTCCGCTAAAATGGAAAGAGTTGCTAGAACATTTACAGAATCTTTTACGTCCAAACTGTAAGTTAGCCTAAGTCAAAATAAATGTTGCAACAAAACCTAGAGATTATGTCAGTTCAGTGACCAATATTCTGCATGACAATTCTTGACTTTAAACTAATATTTTATACATTAATAAATACTTATTTAGATTATTTAGTTATCAGAAATATTCTACCACAAGGCTAGGCATATTTCCCCGAACGATCGGGTTAATATTGTACGTAGTAGTGATAGGCCTATTCAATCTTTCTGTCACTGCATGATTACAGTTACAAGGTTGTTTGTAAATATCTAGGCCTAGACCAAAAAGGCACATTTTTCAACTATAGGGCCTACAACCTAAGTTTGATGTTCTCTAAAGTGACTTGTAACTTAACACATTCGCTGCGGCACGTCAAAGGGCGGCTGTAACCCAGTGCGGCGCAGCCCTCAGCGTCGAACAAACCCGATTGGTGTTATTGGCTTTCCAATTTCGGTCTGAAGAATAGCAAAGAACGTGCGGCGATGTCCTGCTTTACAACGAGAGTCGACGTAGTTCGTTAAACACCAACAGATAGTAAAAAGCCCAAACACGACTAAGCACAAGCGCAAACTTACCTAAAGGCAAGCGCAAACTTAAAAATCCGCAAAAAATCGGAGCGCGCCCGAACTAAGGAGTGGCGGCAAAAACAGATTTCTATTGTATTTAGGACTACAGACCACGCTCAGCAAGTAGTAACGTTCAACGCTAGACTCATACGGTAGGCCTACTGGCTGCTTTTGTTCGGCCAATTCATTCGAAAATTCCGCCGCGAGCGCCACCAACTGTAGTGGCGGATCTGCAAGCGGCGGTAATGACGTAATACTACAGTATGTCCCCCAAGGGCTGACAGAGTTTCAATTCCCTAGTTTGAAAACGGTGACAACTGTAACACCATTTGCTTAACCTTACACAAGGACGTCTTAGGACGTCCTCCGCTATTTTGATAGGGTTTAGGACATCTTAAGACGTCTTAAGCGGGCAATGTGTTAACTTAAAGTTGATTTAGGCTAGGTCTACTCACACAACACGTAAAATTATAACTTTCCCTCCTTATTCAAGAATCTGATAGGCTAGGCCCTAGGCCTATCACTCAATAAGAACAACTCATTATTAAGTCCGTGCTTTCCAAGTGGGCAAAAAGAAATTATGAATGTTTGAGAACAACGGTTTGAGCAAACCTTAACTTGACACTTATCGAAAGCTCTGAGGAGAATTAAGAGCGTCTGCATGCAAGAAGCTGTGCTTGTGGCGTATCACGCTCTAGGCTATTTGAAAGCCATCAACGATAGGTACCCTATGTAATAGCAGTTTGGGGGTCTGCAGCTCATACTCACTTGGAACGTGTATTAATATTTAATACTGCAGAAAAAAAGATCCAAAAATCATGTATGATGCCGACTGGCTGGGAAATTCTAGAGGTTTCTTCAAAGACAATGAAGTAGGGCCTACTGTAATCAGCCTCTACATAATAGAAACCGTTATTTTGGCCTCAACCAGGAATCTTAAGTGACATGAAGAAGTACACAGCTATGAAACGAGAAACAGAACCAACTACAACCTCCCTGCTCATCGCCTTGGACTCGTGCTATGACTTGGCCCAACTTAAATCTTGAAATTCCGTCCAAGTGAACTTAAAACGAAACATGTTATTAGAAAGAATATTTTGCTCAAGGAAGCCTGGAACTTAAGTTAATAACTTAAATTGTCCTAGGGTACCTACTGCCTAGTGTGAAGAAAATGTTCTGTGCTTGAGGCACTAAGTTAACTTAAACGTTGGGAGCTTGATACCTATTCTGAGTTGATAAGTTTTTGCTTTGTAAATCAGTAGCCTTTAAATTTTATATCATTTTCTGAGTAAGCTTTTGAAACAAATTATCTCTCTTATATTAAAGGATGTTGTATTTAGGCCTAATGTAGGCTATTAGAGAATTTACTGCTTTTCTTATCTCATCCCTTAATCCTAACATATTGTCCAGTTTTTTTTCCAAATTGCAATGTATGGTCATCTGCTGAAGACCGAGGTTCAACAGTGTTTAAAAACAGTAAAAACCTACAGATTTTTATTAGGTACAGGGACATTATTTGTAAACAGCATTGATTACGCTAATCTTAAGTAACTTACATTATATTATTTCCTAATCTCTTGTGCTTTATTCGCCAGAACATTTTAGCCTACCTGAATGAAATGCTTAAAAGCGTAGGCCTAATCTTTCTCGGACATTAAAATGGTGTAAAATTACCTGATTACGTCTGTGATACTAAATTTTGTAGTGTGCAGCTACCGGTTTGGAGGTTATATAACCTCATCTTCAGGCTCTTTGTGTCACTCTTGTGAGCTCGTCGAGTTTTAAACATCAATATGAAATTTTTCTTGGGTAGCTTCAAAGAACTAGGTATGCTTATATTTTGTGTCCCAACCCGTTTTTTAGATAGTGCAAAATTAACTGGCTTAAGTTAAATCATCCAGAACACTTACTGTATTTTTTCCAACAACGTTTTTTTTATTTATTTATTACATGCACGGCAAACGCCATTTTACAAGAGAGTTGATTTGAAATTGATAAAAATTAAATGTGACTTAAGTGAAATAGATTATAGTGCGATCAATTAGCTGTTTTACATGCACAGTCACCCAAATAATTACTGGTACCTATGTCATATAAATAACTCCAATTGAGTAAAATCATTGGCTTTGATGACAGGGTAAAACCTAAATCTTTTCTCTTGCTAGCCTCTCATTCTCACTACAAGCTCTAGAGAACTTCTCTTCTTGACTTTCTCTGGCTATTTATCCAAATGTGAAGTAGTCAATGGGTACAGTCACTGATTAAGTTTCAATTTTTTTTTTATATTTTTTTAAAGATTAAGTAGGTATCATGATACTTAATCTTTCAAACTCCTAACATCTAAATATTTCTCAACAAAATAGGCTCAATAAAAATTTAGCAAACAGCTGTGATCCATTTTTATGTTGCAGGGAAGAGCCAGTACGTACACACTTGAAGAATGTCTACGCCTGCCTCACCATGTCTACGGTTGCTGCAGCTGTTGGTGCGTACGTCCACATGTACACGGAGATCTTGTCTGCAGGTCTGCTCACCGTCATCGCAGCTGTTGGACTACTGTTCGCCCTTATGTCTACACCCGACAATGGCAAAAACAGACAGATGAGGGTTGGATTCCTGCTCGGATTCGCCTTCTTTTCAGGTAGGCTAAGATATATCGTTACAAGGTTAAGATCTTTTAAAACTATAACTAAATAAGGTATCTCGGTATCTGCCATGCTTACCACTAAACAAAAATAGTTGAAATTGAGCACAAATATAATCTTTTATATACTACCTTACCTTATTACCTCCTCCTTGGCTTGATACCAGCATATAGGCTGTGACAATATTTACAATAAAAAAATACAACTAGGCCTAATATTTTACAATATGTACAGACTTCCATTTAGTCTGGTTTTGTATAGTCATTAAGACAAAAAAAAGAACTTAAATAAACTTAATGGCGGTGGATTTAAATTCCTGTGAGGTCGTCCTCAACGAACTCCCTGAGAGAGTAATACGGCCTAGCTTTTAGCTTTTATCCAACACTTTAACCTAGCTTGAAACTGATTGTGGTTTAAATTCCTAAATCCAACCTGCAACTTATTGGTCAGTCTGAGGGCCATGACCGGGAAAGCGTCTTGTCCTGCTAAGCCTACAATAGGGTACATCAATATGATTTTATGCGCATGCACGTGCTGTCTGGTGGTAAAGGTATGCACATTGGAGTGTACGTAGCTGACACATTGAAGGATGTAGTTGCTGTAGGCTATATGGTGAGTATGCCCAAGTCAGCAAATATAGGCTTGCAATGCTCCTGTCGCCCACTGCCAGTTATGATTCTCAGAGCTTTCTTCTGCAGCCTAAGAATTCCGGAGACACTGACTGCATGGCCCAATAGCTGGAGACCATAAGTAACATGGCTAAGAATCAATAAAGGCTAATGCTATTTCGATATCAACTTAGGGGTCTTAGGCCATTCAACATTCTGAAGTTAGGTTTTTGTAAGAAAATATGGATTGGTCTCAAGGTAACAATAAGAAAGACTACTAGCTTATGTAGGTTAAACAATTTTGCTTTTCTACCTTTCAATTGGAATCGATTAAACAAAAAAAAATTATTTAGTTTATAATTTTTTGTTTATGTTAGTTTAATGACGCTATTCAAAAGACATATTGTCTAAACTTGAATAAAGAATATTTGATTGATTGATTGATTGAATCAGTTTTACACGTTTTAACAGCTGATTAAAATTAACAAAAGTAGGCAATTTTTAAAATTAACATTCCCATTGTCGGCAGATTCCATGAATAATAGAAAGTTGTGTAATCATTGTTGATATTAAAACCTGATTGCTGCACAACGCTTATTTTATCAAAGTAGAGTCAAAGGACTTTTTTTGTGGTTAAGTTATACCCCATTGCAAAGTAAACCACTGAGAAGGAAAGTGGACATTGTTCCAACAGCAGTCAGGGTCTGTTAAATTGAATTAAACTTCGTCAACATTTTAAGAGTTAGTCCATGTTCTTAAGGTAGGATTCAAATCCATTGTAGTAGTACTTGAACTGCAATATTAACTAATTGGGTTACAATAATTGTCATCAACAATAATTGTTGTATTAGGAACTGTTAATAGGAAATGTAAAACTGATTAGCAAATAAAATTGCTAAAATTTATTGAGGCGAATCGAAGAAACTGTTCTTGTAGACCCTAATGATTTTACAAGTGACCATTACAAATTTATCTTAAATTACTCTTTCCCTTGACCAATTGTGTTTTTGTTGTTGGATTAATATAACACATGGCTATGGCTATATTAATTGTTCAGTCAAATATTGTTTATAAATTAGGTCAAAATTTTAAATCTACCAGTTGTTTAAAAACTACAGATTTTAGCATCACAATCCTATTTAAAATTAATACTTATAATTGTTTTTTTTTTATCTAATTAGAACGGATTAAATTGAGTTTACATCTACAGTGTTACCAAAGGCAAAGGATTTAATATTGAGGTTGATTCATTATATGAACATATTTCTAATTGTTTTCACAGCTGGTTAGTCATGCGGTAATTAGCCAAATGTGTTATCTGTCATTCCTGATAACATAACTCACAGTTGCATAGGTACTAATATCAGAAAATGCTTTTTGTGCAACCTTAGTAGATTAAAATAAGTTAAAAAATGATTAAGAGGAGCAGTCTTAGTTCTTGGACCTAATGATTGATTACTTAAGAATCCCCAAAAGCTTTTGAACAATTTCTATTTTCTAAATAGGTAGTACCATAATTTTAACTCTTATGAGTAATTCATTATTGTACTATCTTGATGATGGTGAAAATGTAAAAAATAGGTCTACTATTTAAAACCATAGTTCAAACAAATGTTTCTTATCTTTTAAGATTGTTGACGTGAGCTTCCTAGACAATTTTACGAGGTTTTTTGCTATATTTTTACTATATTGGAATGGTTGGGATAGTTTAAAAAACGGATTGATAAGAATGAAGCTTCTTTGGACTATACTCCGTTCAAAAAATTTTGGTGATTTAAGGAAAAGGTTTCCTCACCACATTTTAGTGTAACGTAATCAGCTGTTGGCTGTTTTTTTAAAGTTGGGGTAAGGACTCAGAGGCGGTTCCAAAGGGGGGGGGGGGATATTTAGTTCGTAATGGGACAGGATTTTTATTTCCTTCCTGATTTTCAGGATGGGGCGGGATGCAATTATTATTTCCTTCCCAATTTTCGGGATGGGACAGGACGGGATTTTTCCTGTGCATAAAAGTGTTTGTTTTAAAAGTCTTGAGTATTGCAGTTACCAAAAAAGACAAACAAAATCAATGTTTATCGTTTGTAGCACTGATCTATAAAAACCAATAATGGGTAAATTTTTCAAGTAAAAAAAAATGTGTGACTAAATAATGTAATATCTGGTGAAATTTAACTTTAAAACATCAGTGTCATTATATAATACCCTTAGCTAATCACAAACAGGTATTAAAACAGACTATCACTGGATTTAAAAATCTGTGTAGTTTTGAGGCCTGAAATGGTTATGAGTAGAAAAGCAGTTGCCTAGTTTAATAAATCCTAAATGTTAACTTGTGTAGAGCAATATTGCTACCTAAACCTAACACGATGTCATCATGACTACAATTCGCGATCGCGGCATCATTGTGTAAGCAACAACTGCGGTCAGGTGCAATGGTTGAAATGACTCGCAGTCATGGCGCGATAGTCGAAATGACTCGCAGTCACAGCGCGATAGTCGAAATGACTCGTGGTCACTGCTAAATAGTCAAAATGACTCCGTGGTCACAGCGCGATCTTCAACATGACTCCGTGGTCACTGCGTGATTGTCGTTATGACTTCTCGGTTTTTATGATTCACATTAGTTTAGTGTAACAAATATTGAAGCTATCGAGTTGTATGGTTTGCTATCTGGACCGCCAATAATAAGTACTGACAAAAGTCTGTGGAACTTAAGTGAAACTTCATCGTCTCAAGTTCACCGAGAAATCCTGATTGCCATGTTATCAGCTGCCAAGTTAGTAGACCTTAGGCATGTGTTAATTTTTAACCAGGTTCAAATTAAATTACAACTTAGATCACAAGTTGTGGATCTTCCAATTTTTTTAGGGTTATCAAACACAGTATATAAAATTAGTTGAAACAACCTTTTAAACAGATTATAATGTAAGTTATTAACATTTAAATTACGTCTTCAAAACTATTAGTTTAGGAAATACTAGATTATCAGTAACAATTTGTAACTGGTTGACAGGTCTGGGGATGGGTCCACTGTTAGACATGGCTGTTTCCATCAACCCACAGATTATTGTGACCGCATTCATCGGCACGTCCGTGGTGTTTGCCTCGTTCAGCATTGCCGCCATGACAGCTCAGCGAGGACAGTGGCTCTATCTGGGAGGCACTCTGATGACTCTGCTGTCCTCTCTGTTACTGCTGTCCCTAGCCAACATCCTGCTCGGCTCTCGTCTCATCTTTCAGGTAAATGATAAGACAGTAGAGTTATTAATTTTTGAGTTCTGGTCTAGGCATTGATCAAAACACATTTTTTTTTATTGAAGCCTAATCAAAAAGTCAAGGGGCAAATAAGATACAAAAAAGTAATGCATTTGCTGCTGGGAAATAAAAGGTATTGTTAGAATTAACATAAAAGATGTCTCAAACATTTTTGTTTTTGATTTTATAAACATGGGTATAGGCCGTGGCCTACGACCGCATGCAAAATTGGCTGTATTGATTCATAAAAACAATCCTTTTAGAATTTGTATTAGATGGCAATTTTATTTTCTAAAATTAATAATTCCCTAAACTTGCGGGTGACGATTATAATGTGCCTGTAATCACAAGAGATATTCACTATTTTGCGGTTATAGTGGGTGATGATTATGTCACTGTGATCACAGTTAAGTTCTACCTTAGAAATGGAGACCATTTGGGTTAGTTAGGGTTGCAAATACCAACCCTAAATCAGGTACTGACTGACTCCAACCCCGCACTACCGGTTTGCAAATGAAAGAACAGGAAATTGTGATGATGTAATCGAATATCCCGTCAGTTATCCTGAAGTTGGATTTAGGAGGTTTCTCCTGTTATGTTGCTGCAGATTTAAAATATTTCGAATTAAAAAGGGTAGAGTGATAATGAATACTAAAATATTGCAAATCAATAGAAAACGGCTTAAGGCATAATGCATTGGTATTATACAAGATAAAGAATCCAGAGAAAGTTGTAGTTATTTTTTAAAGTTCTACAGCTTGTAGCACAGTCGGAATTCCAAACATTTATTTATTTTATGCTTGGCTAGAATCTGTGCGACAGCAACCCAATGTTTTATCTGTAAACTAGTCATATTTGGTGACTCGTATTTAAACCGGTTAAACATTTACATTACACTAAATGATTAAATGTAAACATTTATAAAAAAAATTTCAATTGTTTTTGCTTAGTCTATTATCAGAATGTCATAGGTTATTTTCTTAGAAAATGAGGCGGATGAAAAATTAAGTTTGGCTCAGTGTTTTACTTTCTTCGGTATTATACTATCCCTGGTTTTTAAAATTTTATTGTAAATAAAATATTTGGCAAAATTCCTTGTTCCCTAGGGATCTTTACTTGTTCTGTAACCCTTGATCACTCTTTTTTGTCTGTCAACATTTTACAATTAAAATCCATGTGTGAAGCCCCTTAGCTGTTGGGCATAATGTAAGACTAAATTACTTACGTAATCCTGTCACAGCTCAATAAAATATGTCAATTCAAGACATGTTTTGGGGTTAAAACACCATCATCAGCTTCAGGTACATATGTAGAGTTGATCAGTAGTTAACATCATCAGAAGAACACAAATAAGTGCATAAAACAATTAAACATTTAAGAAACAGGCCTGTTCTAACAAAAGATGACCGACCGCACAGGTAGCAAGGGACAGACTAGCTACTGGTCATACTGTATTGTTATGAATACTATAGAAATCAGGAGCACAGTCGGAATTCCAAACATTGATTATTTTATGCTTGGCTAGAATCTGTGCTACAGCAATTCTAATGGGTTTATTTATGCAAGTCATGTTTGGTGACTCATTTATAAACCATTAAACATTCTACACAAAATGATGTGTTGTAAACATTTATGCTAAAATACAACATGTGTTAGTGCTAAAAATGTATTATTAGACCTTCATATTTTCTAAAAAAAAAATGTCATAGATCGGTAGATGACAAAAACCATCCAGTAAACAAGTGCATACCAATGGTTTTTTAAAGTTTTTTCTTTAGTTACACAACAAATTAGTGGTACAGTAGAGTCCCGATAGTCCGAAATGGTTGAGACCGGGCCCATTTCGGATTAAAAATTTTTTTTTAAATTTTTTTTTTTCGTCTTAGGACGCAAGCACAAGCCCTAGATTGTTTTGTGATTTGGCGGACGAAAATGAAAAATGTTAATAACAAAAATGGTGAAATATTTACTAAAATAGGCCTTCTATAAAAAAAAGTCTATCTCGCCTGGCCGCTACAGTATTCTTGGACAAGGTACAGCTAACTGTGTTAAAAGTTTAATAAAAGAGTTTTCAAAAAATTCTAAAAAATTTCAATTTTTTTTATAAAAAATATATTTTTGGTTTCGGATTTCCGAAGTTCGGATTATCGGGACTCCTCTGTAGTACGACATCTTAAAGTGCTAACTGAACACGGAATCTTAATAGCATCAGTGGACTTAAGCAACTTATTTATCTTCCTTAAACATGTGCCTAGTTTTGAAGTGTTATTGAGTTATACTTAAAAAGTTTGGAGCACAGTCGGAATTCCAAACATTTATTTATTTTATGTTTGGCTAGAATCTGTGCTACATCAACCCAAAGGTTTATTTGCATACAAGTCATATTTAGTGACTCATTCATAAACTCTTGGTACATTTTAAGCTACACAAATCCATTTAATCTTCTACTTCTTTTCACTTTTGCACAATAACCGCTTTCTATGTATTGTTTTGTAGGGTGTAAACTTAAATTATAGGTTTTTTTAATTTGAGGAATTTATAAAGTCAATTATAGTTAAAAGAATCAACCCTGTTTTAATTTAGGCTTCATTTAAGCCAACTTCTTTGAATTTCTGGTTGCTGAATATCAGTTGTAATATTATACTCAGTAGTGGCCTCTGGATGCAGTTTCAGAGAGGGGATGCCCCCCTCCTACCCGTAAAATATGAAGTCTAAAAATCCATCTCCCCAATTCTACCCCCTCCACTACCGATTGTACTAATTTTTAATACAATAACCAAACTACTTGTTTCAGGATTGGATTTAAAACATATTAGGCGAGCGCCATAACCTAAAAAAGAAAAAAGCTCTGGTGAACGGATTCCTTTAAAGAACTAAATAAACTTAAAACCTTGAGTAATTTTAAGAGTGTATTACAACGCTATTTGGTTCGCATGTTCTAAAAGTTTGTTCTCGGTGTGTCTCAGATCTACTTGTACCTGGGACTGTTCCTGATGTGCGGATTCGTGTTGTACGACACTCAGCTGATTATTGAGAAGCGCCGCAGCGGAGACAAGGATTTCGTCATTCACTCAGTCGATCTTTTTATCGACTTTATCGGCATCTTCCGTCGTCTGGTCATCATCCTTTCTGAGAAGGTATTGTGTAGTTACAGTAGTTTGAAAACACTATGATCAAATCTAAATAAGTTTAAGAGTCTTCTTGTCTTCAGTTACAGTAGACTCCTTGTTACCTGGACTCTTTGGGACCGAGGATATTGATTAAAGCTTGAAATAAGTGATTAAAAGTTAAATGTTTTTGAAAACATATTTCCTTTCAGTAAATTACTACATACAAGACTTGAAACATATACGAGTGCAAGTAATACATTATTTAACTCCTAACTCCTGAAAATCAATCAGTACTCCCACTAGTACTGTGTATACAAAGGTGAAGGTATTGTTCCTAGGTAAGGTTTTATTCCTTATTTTATGTGAGAGAGAATGTTGAATAGTGTATATTCTAACTCAACTTATGATTCTGTATTTAATTCAATCATGTTGTTTCTTTGGACTCAGCTGTTACTGATCATTGGACTTTAAACAGTTTATCCTAATCCGTAACAAAGCTATACCTATCCTCTCACCATCCTACACCCATCCTTCACTCATATTTGGGTTAAAACACACACCTAGGTGGTAGCGTCCCCATCTCAATGATTGATTGATTTTTCTTTTTATCTTTGATGATTTTTTTGGTTTTATAATCCATTTTTATTAATCTATTGTTTACTTTTTATTCTCAATTTAATGGTGAATTTCCATTTTTTAATGGTAAAAAAGGAAAATATGCCAATGAATTAGGGATGGACGAGATTGGATTTTTAGTTCGAGACGAGACGAGACGAGATTTTTTATTTCTCATAAAATTTCGAGACGAGATCGAGACGAGATTTCTCTTCTCATACACAACGGGAAATGCACGTTCGAAATTTTTACCTGATTTTGTAACATTGTTAGATGACTGTTTAAATACTAAAATAATGATAATAGGCAAGAATATTTACAATCTTTCATTAAATAACTTCAGCATAACATTTTTTTATTAATCACGCCTAACTTCAGCATAACATTTTTTTATTAATCACGCCTAACTTATTAAAAATGCCTACGATTAGGAAACATGGTGATATCAGTTAGGATAGAGTTCAACTTATCCTAAAATAAAATAAATCATAAAATAAAAGCAATATTAATTTTTATAAAATAGTTACTTGTTTTGACTTTTTTTATAGTAATAAAACATTCCTCACACTGCTTACACTTAACAAAACTTCTCAAATGTTATTAAAGTAATATTATTAAAATAATGAAAGTAATATTTACATTTAAAGAATTAAAGTAATATTTACATTAAAAGAATTAATTAAATAAGAACGCCTTCGAAAAGGAAACGCAACTACAACACGCTCCTGTATTGCGGGTATTGCATTGACTTTCTGCAGGCGTTTTTAATTTTTTTTTTTTTTTTTTTTTTTTTTTTATTCTCGTCTCGATAAAAATCTCGGCCAAAAAGTAATCTCGTCTCGTGTAACGAGATTGAAAATTTCCCGAAATTTCGAGACTTGACCATCCCTACAATGAATAGTTAAAAATTGTGTCGGTTTTTAATGCCAGTTTTTATTGTTTACAGGAAAACCGAAACCAGCGCAAGAAGGAATGATAAGAGAAGACTGGAAGTTGCTCAGCCTGCAAAAGGCAGCATTTGTGAAATTCTAATTATTCATGTATCTCTTTTATGTTTTACTAATATTATGTGTAAAGATAAATTTGTAATCTTTTATCGATTGGAGTTTTTGTGTTGAAAAATTACTGTATGGTTATGAAGTGTTTTAATAATGTAATAGATTTAGGTCTATAGTTTAGTGTTGCGGTTCTACCACCTTTACATTTTTACAGCTTTTTAGTTTTAAATTAGCTTTTTATCCAAGCCCAAGAGAGTAATTATAGTAAAGAGTTAACTAGTGTCAGAAATATATTTTTGTTCTATTTTTCCTATGAGTTTAAAATGTAAAAATGTTTTATTTGATACACTAGATGTAAGGGTTGTGCAGCCGCAACTTCGGTGGTTGGCATGTGTGTACTGTGTACCTACCTATTGTGTAAGGAAGTTAAATAAACGTTTAGTATTTATAAGCTAAAGACTTGTCATTATGTTGCCTTTTGTACTTCTTCATTCAAGCTTTCTTGGTTAGTTTATATGTTATGTCTAATATCTAAATCTTCTTCAATCGCTGTAAAAAACCTTTTAAAAATTAAATCTATTTGGATACTTTTATTTTATTATGTAAAGGTTTCACACCTGAATTTTTTATTTAAGTTTTGTTTTAAGAGGAAGATCAGTACCAGTGTTTTCAGGATGAGCTTTTAGAAAAAACATCAAAAACCTACATGAAAAAAAATTATTTTATTTAATTATTTTAGATTGGAATTAGTATTGCCTTTAAGAAAAGGAAATTTACATCTATAGCTTGACTTTTAAAATATACAACAAAGTAGACGTTTACCAAGATTTTTAAGGAATGCCCTTGTAAACTTTAAATATTTCTTTAATAAGGACTTGTAACAGGAGATACTCATTTGATAAACATTTTAAAGATCACATTTATATTTAAACAATTTTGTATAAAAAATATTTCTATTTTGAAAGCATATGGATTAAAACAAGGATTCCGAGTGGCTATAGTGTAAAATGTTTAGTTTTCTGAAAATACTGGTACTGGTTTAAGCACTTTTCTGAAGAAGTCCAACTAATGAAACAAAACTGCATAATAAACATTTATTTCACTTACTTAGCTATTCAACTTACTAATTACATAAACAGTATAATATACAAAACAATAAAGATTGGCCTAAACAGATTCAACTGTGCATGTAGTAGTCAATGAGTGTAGAGAACGCCGCAAACCCTGCGGCCCCAACAGCACCTGCCTTCACTCCCGCTGGAACAGAAAAACTGTGGAGTCACATCACTTTGCAAAGAAGGCAATTAAGAGTCCTTCGAGGCTAGCGGCCAACTTGGATAATTTCAAACCGCTGCTGAAGAGTTAATTATCATCCAAAAATATTTTTTCAAAAACCAAAGTGATAATAATGTAAATATCTAGTATACTGTGAGAATCTCAAAGTCCAATCTGATTAGAAATGTTTTTTTTTTTTTTTTGAATGTATTTCCAAGGGAGTCTTTGGAAGCCAACGGCCATCTTGGATTTGCCCCCCACAAGAGCAATGCTATTCTTTTTATTTTCAAACAGCAACTGACGAGCTATTAACCACCTCAAAATATTTGTTCGAATACCAAAGTGATTGTAGCCTAATTTAAATATCTAGTATACTGTGAGATTAGAAATTTGCTTTGTAGTTGTTTAATGTTTTATGAGTTAGAACGTCTAGGCTCCAAGGACTCTAAATGGGATGATTGGACACTGAATTGGACATACCATCAATCTATATAGATTTAGAACATTTTATATTGAAAGAAAACAGTTGAATAAGCACCATAGAGTGTGTTGTGCGTGTATTCTTGTTTACTGTTAGTTTCTGAAACATGATTTTAAGTTGGTGTAAATACTCGTATATGCCAGTGGCACAATCTAGAAGGTCAATTCAACTACTATTTTTACTGGATAAAACTTTAAAAAAGGAATGGGATGTCTGTGATGTTAGTTGTCTAAGGCAGGGGTCTCCAACCTACGGCCCACCAGCCACCTATCAGATGATTTCTTGTTTGCTAAATGCTTGCAAGACTATTGTAAAAATATTTTTTTTAGTCGGAAGGCTATTCCACTGATGAAGACTGCGACAACGCCCGTGAGCATATTTCACGCTCTCCACGATACCATAATCGTCTTCCACGATTGTGACACCCGTGAGCTTATCTCGGCAATACAATGATAATTTCCCTTGATTGAGGAAATAATCTGAGCAAATCTTGTGGTATCAGCTATACTATAGTGTAACAGTGGCGTAAATAAGGGGGGTGATCAGGGTGATCAATCACCCCCCAAAGACTAATAAAAAAAAAAAAAATACAAACTAAAAATAAATATCATTTAAATGTTTTTGAATACTGTACTGCTGTTTCAACATAATTACCGTTAAGCGTGTATATGCTGAGAAAATTATTAACTAAAACTTAACTATTTTAAATTTAAATTAACAAAAGGAAAGGAAGTAGCAATATATCTGCAAGCTACAAGTTGTGCGCTTGCGTTCTAGTTAGTCCTGGATTGCCTATGCCGTTGGACTCACACATAAACACTTCCCGATCGTAACACCCCCTACCACCGCGCCGTACCGATGGCGTAGACGCGCAGTGCGCTGTTGACGGGTGGGGGAGGGTTGAGGAGGAGGAGGGGCACGTGTTTCTAAAAATAACTCAGCCCACCCCACCCTGACACCCATGACTCCGTAGTCGTAGTCGTAGTCCGTCCACTCCGTTCCACTGATCAGTGTGTTATTGAGCTGTTATTTAGTAGTCGATATTACAGTGTTTTTAGCGATTGTGCATTAGTTCTGGTTCTGTGTGTTAAGATGTTTAAGTGAAGTGAATCAATTAGCCTATCTGTATTTGTTTAAACCACAATATGTCGGCCAAAAGAAAGGGCCAGTGTCTAATAACGGACCTATTCAAAACCAGAAAATTGGACGACTGTCCCCCTCCTGAACCTCTTAATTCGGTCCAACCTCAACTGTCGTCAATAAGTTCATCACCCTCAGTAAGTACCTCAGACACTGAAACTCAGCACAAAGCATTTAACCGGAATGACATTGGGCTTTATTTGAATAAAAGGGTACATGATGAGGAAAAAGTAAAGCTTATGAATGCATTTTGGCAACCCCCCTCCACCTACAAGTTTCCTGTCTTGGAAAAATTTCAGAAACGAAAATTAAAATTTCAATATGCATGGTTCAGTAAATATCCGTGGTTAGTTTACTCAGAAAAAGAAGAGGGAGCTTTCTGTAGATTTTGTTTTTTATTTTCAAAACATGGAGCAGGAGTAAACAGCCAAGAGCTTGGTTCGTTGGTGAAACATAAATTCACAAACTGGGTAAAAGCCCAAGAAGTTTTTAAGCACCACGCTGAAACCGATTATCACAATGCTTGCATTACTGATTTCAAAAATTTGAAAAAAACCCTGGAAAATAGGTCTTTGGAGGTCGTTAATCAGGTTGATACTGCACGCAATGAAGCGATAATTAAAAATAGACGCAACCTTAAACCTGTGATTGAAACTGTCATATTATGTGGACGGCAAGAGCTTGCCTTGAGAGGTCACAGGGACTCTGGAAAGGTTGGGACGAGTTCTATGTGTACAGAGAAAAATGAAGGGAATTTCAGAGCTCTTTTGAGGTACAGAAGCCAAGGGGATAAAGATTTAAAAGACATGTTGGATGGGAATGGAAAAATTAAATATCTGTCACCTCTGTTACAAAATGAAATTATTTCTTCTTGCAATCATATAATACAGAGTAAACTGGTTGAGGAAGTCAACAATGCAACTTATTTCTCGGTACTGGCAGATGAAACTAGTGACATTTCAAACGTAGAACAAATTTCTTTGTGTGTTCGCTACGTTGCTGTAGAAAACGAAAACCACACCCACACTGTTAAAGAGCAATTTCTGCAGTTCGTACCAACGACTGAGCTTACAGGCAAAGCATTGGCCGGGAAAATTCTAAATAGTTTAGAAAGTTATGGGTTAAATATGAGTGGTTTAAGAGGACAAGGTTATGATGGGGCATCGGCAATGTCTGGTCAATACAATGGTGTAAACAAATTTGTACAAGACAAACACCCTTTGGCTTTGTATGTACACTGCGCGGCCCACTCATTGAATTTAGCCGTAACAAGAGCATGTGAGGTCCGTGAAATAAGCAATTGTCTCGGTACAATAGAAAAATGTTACATATTTTTCAATACGCCCAAAAGGCAAGCTGTCCTCAACGATGTGATTGACAAATCAGAAGTAGACCCAAAAGTAAAAACCTTGAAAAGGTTGTGTGCCACACGTTGGGTGGCAAAGTTTGATGCAGTTCGAGATTTCATGCACATTCTTGATTTTGTCCTTGAGTCCCTAGATATTATTTCATCTTGGAAAGATGGCTCAGGAGCCAACAGCTTGAAGTGGGCTATATTAAATATAGAGTTTTGTGTTGCTGTACACGTTCTTGCACATATATTCGCTTTTGGTATGCCCTTGTGCAAAGAACTGCAGAAGGAAACTTTAGATTTGAAAGAGGCTGTTGTACTGGCCGAGGATATAATATCAGAATTGCATTCCATGCGTACTAATGCTGAGGAAGAGTTCCATGCCGTGTTTAATCAAGTCAAGGCTGTTGCATTGGATGTGGGAATTGACATAAAACTTCCTAGACTGTGTTCAAAACAAAAGAATAGGAGTAATGCTCCAAGTTTATCTAACGACCTCACTGACGTGACTAGCATTGATGCTCAAGTCGAAAGTCATTACAGGATAAACCTATTCCTTCCTTTCGTAGAGTTTTTCATAACCCAGCTTGAAGAAAGATTCAAGAAACACAAAGCTATTTTTGAGGGCTTTCAATGCTTGTTTGATCTTCAACAAAACATTGAAACAAAAACTAAGCTAGACAATTTAGTTCAGTTCTATGCAAACGATGTTTCATCCAACAGTGATGACATTTATGTGGAACTGAAAATGTGGAGGAAAGACATTGACAGAACAAAAAATCACAAAGCTTTGAAGTCCGCTCTTACCAGCCTTGATGCATGTGACAAAACATTGTATCCTTCCATCTACCAGCTTTTGAAAATCCTGAGCACACTGCCTGTAACGACATGTACTCCAGAGAGGTCATTTTCAACATTGAAGAGAATAAAATCATACCTCAGGAACTCTACTGGACAAGTAAGTGGAACTGTAATTTAAAAATTTACTACTTAGGGCGACGTACACTGGACCACTACTAAAACTCGTTGCACGCAACTGATTTAAAAATCATTTCATTTGTATAACTGTCCACTTTATTCAGTTTCGCTGATCGGGGTTAGTGTTTGTTGCTCTATTTTTATGCAATTGCGCATCAAATAGAGCAATCATTTTATGTATCAAATAGCTTGTGCTAGTGTGCGTTAGCCCTTAATTAGCTTTTCATTGACTTCACACCTTAATGCATAGACTTTTAGCTATGTTCAAGCTCATAACAGATGATATATTGTTAATACCTAAAACCATGATTTTGCATATATGACTTTTAATATAATACAATTTAATTTGAAATAATTTTGCATATATTGTAATTTATTTGTCATAAATTGACATTTCTTGATCTCTAGATGTGCCTTTTATGGATTTTAAATGCATACAGCAGGGCTCCCCTCATCAATCTCAAACTCCTCATTCAATTTTTTTTATTCAGCTCATTACTAAAAACGTAAAAACAAAAAACCTATTATTGCTCAGGTAATCCAAAGAACAGTTATACATTTCCTTATCCAAAAAGGAAATTTTTCAATATTTACCCTCATTCAATTAATGTGTTACAGACACGACTGAATGGACTTGCAATGCTGTCAATCCATCGAGAAATTGATGTCACTGTTGACGAGGTCATAGATGACTTTGCTAAGAAACCAAGGAAGATCAATTTTGTTATATAGCTTTGAACAAACATTGTAGATTTTCAATAAATTTGGTGCAATTCTGTTTTGGAAAGTTATTTTTTCAATCCAGCATAATCTATATTCATATCAGTTAATCAGTTATATTTTTCATGTTCATAAGTGCTACAACATAAAACAAAAAAGGCAATAAAGTCGCCAAGATCACACTTTAACCATTTGCGAAAAAAATCAATAATAAAAAAGTTAATTTTTGCGGTCGAATGGCGAGTATCTTAAATCAATGGTATAGGTCGCCGGGTGCCATTTTACCGACAGCTAAAATGGCAAACTGTACTCGCCGAAAAATGGGGAAAAATTTCAAAGTGTATTTCAAGTTTTGAATTCAAGAGTGTATATTTTAAAATTGTTAATCAATTAATTAGCCTATGTGTATTTGTTTTAATCTTGCTGAACAATATGTTGGTCAAAAGAAAGGACCAGTTTTTAATATTGGACATGTTTAAAACCAGGAAATTAGATGACTGTTCTGTTCTCCTGTACATGCAAATGAGCATGTTAATTCTGTTCAACTGTCTTTGGTAAGTTCATATGAACCTCAGAAGAGACAGCCTCAATTGGGTTGATTTTTGGAGTAATTTTGAACATGATTACACCTCTGGAATGCTTAAAAAGGCGAGTTTGGAGTTTTAATTTTTCAAAATTTTCCGGGGGAGGACCCCCGTACCCCCCGCTTTGCTGGGGGGTATTCCATACCCCCCAGACCCCCCGGTTCACACGATGAGTGCAAGCTTGGTGCTCATCCATCCCCCCCCAAAGCCATGTTCTATTTACGCCACTGCCCTGGTAATAATAATTCATTTTCCAAGACTAAGAAAGGAGATCAATATTTGATTCATTCTAAATTCGCAGTGTTTCTCAACCATATAACTTCCAGTTTGGGCTTTGGTTTCAGAAAATAGTTGTAGGTATTTCCAAAACTACAGCATAGGGATATAGAATTATGGATTCTAGAAAAAAGTGATAATTGATTCACACAGCAAAAGAATTTTGTATGGAATACACTGATAAATTTTAAAAGGAGTTATCAACTTGGAAAGAATTAATTAACAAACGGTATTAACACTGTAGTTGTGTTATCATCCCTAAGTTTCCCAGGATATCCAATATCCTAAATTTCCTTGGGTTTTTAGAGCTTTGATTATTTCAAACCACATGCATGTTTTACACAACAACATACAGTTTAATATCGGAGTACTTAGTGTTCCATACAAAATAAATTATACGAACCTCTCAGACCTATTAGACCTCCAGTGACCCCTCCTGCGTAGGTTCCGTTCTTCCAGTCGGATTTGCCTCGGTACTGCACCAACACAATATTATTAAAACAGGTTCAGTCCTAAACTACTAAATACAATAGGTAGATCTCCATTTATATATATATAAATAAAGTGAACAAGGGCCACAGTGAAAGACGATTGTTCTCAATTTCCCTATTCAAGTTTTATCCTGCAATAGGGGTAATATGCAGTTGTGATCACTGCAAAGTGGTAGACGAGTTTGTCCCAATTAGAAGCGATAATGTCAGAGCCATAACTGCAGGATGTGAATGTACAGTAGACTCCCTCTTATCCGGACACCTTTTCACCGGAAATCGGCTTAACTGGACTACACTCGGCAGAAATGACATCTCTTTAACCAGACAATTTTTATCAGCACATCGGATTAACCGGACTAGAACGGCAGGAAGTGGGCGGTACTGAAACGACTGTTCTCGTGGGAAAGATTTGAGACCAGAGATCACAAGTCTAAATACAATGCTCTCCTTAATTTAAGTCAAATATTTGGGTTACACAAAAAGTTTTTGGGGACATCGGTTTAACCCTCCAAGTGTCCATAGTTTAGGCCTTAATGTCCACCTATTTTTGGCGCATTTGCAAGGTTTTATTAAAACGGATCTGAGAAGCTTAAAACAATGTTAATTCTAATGTTCTATATACCATTTTGTTTGGAAAATCATGGGCTTCAATATTATATATAAAACATAAGGAACATTTTTTCAAAAAAAAAAATTTTAGGTAAAAAAAAATATAGCCTAATTTCGAAAATTTTCAAAAAAAAAATAAGTTCGCGCTAAATGAAATTGTATAAATTATAGGCCTATAAATATTTGAAAATAGCCACTTTGTTCTAAATTTTATGAGGATTACAAATATATAATAATATAAGGAAGTATATTTGCAAATAAATAAGTTATGGGCAAAAAACTGATTTCAGTACATAGCGTTTAGCTAAGAATGCATAGCCTAACCATAGCTAGGAATCTGGCTGATAATTTACATCAATATCACTACCTACTTCTTCAGGATCATCAACCAGCACTTCAAAACCACTTAAATCTTCTTATAATGCACCACGTATATCACTACTTTTGATTTTTAACACTAAAACAATGATAAACGTAATAAAACACATCAGTCATCGGTCCGGGGGAACCTAGCTGTTTACAAATACACGCACGTCAGCTGTCTGCTACAATATTTTCGGAACTAAAATGAATATCGCTTAGAGACAGACCTCTGGAGAAAGCTTAGAATATTACGGAAAGAACGATACCTAACTCGATCCAGTTCAATCCGATTCAGTCAGTCATAGAGCCTTCGCCGTAAACGATGTCTGCGTGTCGAAAAATCGACAAGTAACACTACACAAAGTGTGCTGCTTGTCGAATTTTCGTCAAGTAACACTGGGAGGGTTAACCGGAAAACCCGTTATCCGGACTGGCTTTGGTCCTGAGGAGTTCGGATAAGAGGGAGTCTACTGTAGGTGACAACGTTATGTTACAGCGGTTGGACACTTTGCACCACCGAGAGTGAAATGTAAATGATGTTATCAACAACATGACACTTCACATTGTCACTCAAGAACATATTAATCCCGTGCGGGACTTTATGTTACCCTGTATATGAGTTTGAATGGATAGTGTTTTTGGCCTCTGTGGACATTAAAACAAAAAAGTAAATCCGTCCTGGTTCCAGGTCTTACTATGAGACCTTCACTATGCTTACCTACTATAATTAAGTTACAATATAGTATTAATGTATAAAATACATAGGTAGTTTATTTTGTTTTGTTACAGTTATTTTATCTGAAATTTGCCTTAAGGAAGTATTAAGTCATTATTAGTATGAATTACATCTAAGCTTAAATATATTTGTATCATAACAGTTGTTAATGCCGGTACGTTTTTTGTTTTTTTTTTTCCTAGAATGCTAGACACAATCCCAGGATTGTTTTTCACATTACTTAAGACTAGAACTAGGGGTTGCGGCATTATCACTTGGATAAAATCCATTGGTGATTTGGCGGGATTTGAACCTGGACCTCATGGACCAACAGTCCCGCTCTCTAACCACTAGACCAGCTTGTCCCCCTAATGCCAGTATGATGAGGAAAATTAATTAAATAAATCTAGCGCCGTAAACATGAAGTAAAAATTTACTCAATCAGAGTCAAATAATTTTACTATTCAAACATTAGTTCAAGAATGAGCATTTGCACCAGGTAGTTTAACCGATTCATTGGAATAAAAAATGGAATTGTTGTAAAGTTAACTTCTTTAACTACCGTACAAGATAGACAGCAGGCTATGTTTGCTTAGACTATAGGTACAGTACATTTTAAGGAGTATTTCAAAACCACTTACCGACTCAATTGTGCATTCGATAGCAGAGATCATTGCTCCAACCATTGCAAAATTTTTGGCATAGCTTAGCATTGAGCCTTTCATTTCTCGAAGGATTTCTCGAGCACTTTGAGTTTTTAATTCTTGGCCCGGTACAATTGTAGGATTTACACTGGAAGAAAATAGTCCTAAAGCTGCTCCTAAGCCAAATCCTGAAAATTCATTATCACTTTAACAATCTGCAAAATAATAATGCATTTAACAATGGTTTTTTTTTGCTTTTTCATTTTCATTTTATTTCATTCCAACGGCAAAACCATTATAGGCTACATTTCAATACAAGAAAGATGGCTAGGTACGGTACTATTTACATACAGTACTAAAAAAAAAAAATAATGGATACTGAGTGCTAACAAATACATAACATAACAAGCAAATAAATAGTAGTAATAACAAACGATTATTATTTTACTTTCGCTTTTTGTTAAATATGGATTCCTGTATCCAGTTGAAATAGACCTACATAATAAAAGACTTAAAAGGACATACCCTAACCTAAAAAAAAAAATTGAATAGAAAAATTCAAAAAAATTCTGGGGTCAATGGGTTGACCAAGAAAGAAGCTTTCTTCAACCATCTGAGCTCAAGGGACTGTTTATTTGTTTAACTAGGTCTACTTTTGTGTCATTTTTCACTCTTTTTTTGAACACAGAAATTAAATTTTGTCATGAAACATGTTCTCTGTGTACACATACCCACACAGTAAGGATAGATGAAAGTAACCTAATGACCAATTTTAGGTTTTAAAACTCACAATGATTAAAGGGCTGCGAGTAGGCTACCAGCAATTTTTTGGTTGGTCTGTTAGTCAGAGAACTTGCTTCGGGCCGTTAGTTCGGGCCGAAAATAAAATACAATCTAAGCTCTGGTGGTCATTTTACTGTAGGGATGTACGTAAATTTTGAAGCCAAGCTATAATTGAGTGAAAATTTAAAAACGTACGTTTTCATGTCCCTGGCCTTTTACTTCGTAGATACTGGATTTGTAGTTTATTATTATATGTTTTAATATTTTTTGGGACGGGGGCAACATGTTACACACATTTATTTGGTTTTAAATAGGTTCTAGGTATTTTTTTTTGTATTTTTAAAGTCTAGAAATTCACGACCATGACGTGTCCCTAGGATACATTTTCCAACTTTCACGCTGTTTTTAGACTAATTATTCATGCCGAAGTATATAAAGCCATATTTTTATGCCATCAATGGTTATTAAACTTACAAAAAAGGAGCATATTATAATTTTATTGTCATTGCAAACTGACTACCATGACAAAATAAGTCTGTCCCTCGATTTGGCGTCACGACCATTTGGGAAAAATTTTCAACTTTGGAGCACGACAGTGGCAAGCCTGGCGTCGATGGAGTCAGTTGGTTTTAGAGACTAGTTCGGGGTGTACGTCAGGATTGTAGTGCCGGTCGTTTCGAGTTGAAAGGAGGAATTACAAGATTAATAAGGGAAAGATTGTGTTTTTTGTAATTTTGGTGTGTCCATGACCGTACGTAGTCATTCGATGAAGTAGACATGGTGTTAATTTTTGTTTAAGATATTTCAATTGCTAGATTAACCTAGAAGTTCACTTTGTATCCTCGAACATGAGGTGCAGGGCTACCGCCAGAACAGAGCCAAATAACATGTAATTTCACGACCAAAGTTTCACGACCATTGCGGGTTTTTTCACGACCAATCCAGCCTTATGGATTATAGTGTGTTTGGTCGTGACAATAACTTTAATATAATTGTAATTTGAACAGTTTAGTTCAATTGAAACACTTATTTTTATTATAACTAACAGTATAATTGAAGGATTGTTTAGAAAGATTTAGATTATTTCAGAAAATTCACGACCGTACCGCTTGTCCCTGACCATCACGTTTATGATTTCTATCATAAAAATTTCAAAAATTAAAATATTGTCATATTTCAATGTTTTATACACAAAAGAAGCACACCTCTATACAAACATAACGATTTTTCGGGTCTCAGGTAAGTTTTTTCGGAGTTAAACTAACTTAAAAAGATTTTATTGGCTTTTTTTTCAATTTTTTGAGTTTTTTTATTTTTTTTTAGAAAGACCAAATATACCAAAAGCTCAGTGACCTTTTTATTGTATAATGGTCATAAAAGTAAATTAGTTTATAGCAAAACATAGTTATAAAAATAATATTAACTATTTTTAATATTCATTTAAACGTCTGTTATGGTCGTGACAGGATTTTGTGTTTTTCCACTAAAGATGCTCTTTTTTAAAAAAAATACCAAAGATATTGCGTTACCATGGGCATTTTATGAAACTTCAAATTGAAATAAAAATAATAATAAAAGTTTTGAAAAAAGGGGAAAAAATTTGCAAAGTGCTTTTCCTGAAAACGTACGTTTTTAAATTTTCACTCAATTATTTATTATTGAGAGAAGAAAGCAACCGACAGGTGAACTCCTTGTAGGTTAGACTTCACACCAGACCATGAATAGAATAGAATAGAATCTTTTATTGTCGTTAAACATAATACATGTAATAGACAGTGTCACATTTAAAATAGCCTAAATTAAGTCACATTCAACATGTTTGTCAAAATTAACTTACTACTTGAAACACAGAATTGAGTCGTGCAATGACATATTAAAAAACTCATCAACATGGTAGAATGGATTTTCTACAAGCCAGTCAAAAACAGTTTTACTAAAAAGTGCAAGACAGTATGTCTATAAATATAAATTTGCGTCCTTTAAACATCAAAACCTACTCATGTGTTTATTTAATACTTTGTATAGGCTAAAATTAAATTAAAATCGATAGCCTTTTTACATTGGAGTCGGGTAGCAAGGTTTTGCTATCAAATGTAAAAAATATACTTTTTTGCCTTGTTAGTTCTAGGTATGTTCTACTTACCAGCAACACAACTTATTGTGGTTTTAAATGCACAACTTTCAAATGCAGCCTCAATCATTTTTTCTTCATTTGTTTTAATGTAAACAGGACCCATTGATTTGGGTATGATTATATTCTCTCTGTAGCGGTTATTGTTTCCAATGAAATACCTAGCAACACTATCTAAAAAAGGATCGCTATGAAAGATGGTTTCAGCCTCTGAATTGATGTTTCTTTCCACTGAAGACATGATAAGTATAAAGGATTAAATGCAATTATGCAGAACACAATTATGTTTATTTTCTGGACCTTGTTCAACCCAACTAGCCTACAAAGTTCTACCCAAAGAACTAAGTTTAAAGAGACCTCGTGGGAAAGTCGAAGACAAGTTCAACCTCCACAGTACTTTTCAGTTTTCACCAAATAAATCAAAGTAGGCCTATCCTAATTGATTATGACAAAAACCTATCAACATCAACCTAACCTAACTCAAATTCTCCATCACCATACCATACCAAAACCCAAAACGACAAACAAATTAACAAAAACAAACAAGCAGAGCGAGAGCAACAGCAGACGGCAGATGCAGACGGCATAGTAAAGAAGAAAAACTTGAAAAATACTCCCGCCGCAGCAAACTTGCAGACTAAGCGAATTTCCATTTACCAGTATTAGAATTTTATTTAAACGAGCTGTTGGCCCGTCCTACGTACGGGAATCGAGTAGTCAATTAAAACTGAATATGATTCAGAACAGCTAGTTTACAACTTGGTGGCCGATTCACACACACTGGCTTTGAGTCCAGTAGCTACATACAACCTTCCACTGCATAGGCCTACTATCACTTACCGTACGATATACGTGAAATAGACTACGGAGTTGTCCAGGGCAGTACGCTGGGACCATCCCTTTTTTTGATTTACATAAATAATTTAGACAAACTTCCAATCACAGGAAAGCTCTTTTTATTTGCCGACGACACTGCAGTTATATTCAAAGGTAATACTTGGGACCAAACATTCAATGCAGCGCAAACAGATATGTTCCTTATTCAAAAATGGTTCTCCCAAAATATATTATCAATGAATGTTTTGAAAACAAAATATATGCCAATTTTCCTCAGACAAAGTAGTGAGCCTCCCGCCAACCTCAGACTAGTGATGCATGTTTGTGGAGATCTAGGTGTCTCAACCTGTGGTTGTTTACATTTGGAGAGAGTAGATCATTACAAGTACTTGGGAGTGATATTGGATAGTAGGTTAAGATGGGAACCCCATATTGAATATTTGAAGACAAAACTTAGGAAATTAATTTATGTTTTTAGAAACGTACGCGAAATTCTTAACGTTAATGAAATAAAAATGTTATACTATGCATTTGTCCAATCAGTACTTCAATATGGAATTACAGTATGGGGAGGAGCTAGTAGTAATATTTTAAAGCCACTGTTTGTCATACAAAAACTAATTATTAAAATAGCTTTTCAATTCAACAGGCGTTTCCCTACAAATTTATTATTCAAAAACACTCAATTACTTTCGGTGCGTCAACTTTTTATCAAAACTTTACTTGTATATACCTATTCCAATCAAGATTTGATACTGACGCCAATCACACATAACTATCCCACCAGAGGAGCTGTAAATGTAGGTATGCAGGTACCCCGAGTTTTTAAGTCTGCAAACCTTACCAATGCTTTTTATATTGGAAATTTTTTGTATAGGAATATACCATCTGAGATTAGAGATCTACAAGTATCTCTTCCAGTTTATAAACGTTTGGTAAGCAGTTGGCTGTCGGAGATTGGGCTCGATCAGTCTGAGACACTTATCAGTTCAGTATACAGTACCTAACAATAATTAATACACAAGTACACCAAACAATATTTAGCGTACAGATAACAGATATCAGTAACTGCAACTCCATTCACTCGAATACCTTTTACTTAGCATTAACTGTTCCTGTAGCTGTCTCATAGCTTAATTGTAATTTAATTGTAATTTTGATTAATTTAGTTTTAATTTTAAAGAATATTTCTATTTGTAATAGAGCTCGTCCCGCGCACAGGTCTTTTACGGCCTATGCGGGACTATTGTTCGTATTTTGTATATGTATATGTTGTAAATAATTTCTGGAAATAAAACAGATTTTGATTTGATTTTTGATTCCGTACCCAGACATGAATCGGCATACCCACCTTGGCTACTGAAACATCTAGAAAATGATCCTGGCCTCCCGTTCTCATTTATCCCCTGCCATTTCTGGATGACAGGAAGACAGGAATATACCAGTCTGAAGATGACTTTCATTACTTGGTCTTCCAAGTGGTCGTCTACCTTGTAGTACTCCTTGGAATACACTTCTAAAAGTTGAAGTATCTTCTCTCCGACATGCAAAGCCTGCCCAGCCCATCCGAGATCCGAGTCTTTTGGTCTACTTTTGGAATGTAGCCTACCCTTTTATCAAGTTTCTGAATCGTACAGTACTACTGGTATAGTTATGATATGGTATAATTCGATTTTGGTTTCTACTGACACCCTGCAGCTTACTGGTCAGTTTTCTGGAGACCTACTACACCGGTTGACATTTTCATTACGAATAAAATGTGTACTGTATGCAGTCATACTTAAATTCAAACATCTAGGAAAATATGTATCAACACGTAAACCACTTATATTTTCAAGGATTAAGCACTACTTAGACGGATTGCATTTATGACGAAACTTGATTATACATTTAAAATGTTTAGTTCAAAATTACACAATCTCCTGATAACATAGATATTTTACGAGAAAATAAACTGCATTTTAAAGTAAAATAGTGTGTAGGCAAACTCTGACGATCAATATTTTTGTTTACAAACAACTGGTAACATAAACATTTCAATGACAGTTAGAAACCAGCTGTTAGTTAAACCACCACTAAAACGAATTTAACTCGTCCGTCGGCTGCTAGACTTTTTGAAAATTTAAACTTAATTTCTAAAAAACTGAAACCCTAAACTAAAATTATGGCTTCGACATTCCCTAGTTCTCAAAATTATCTTTCTTTCAACACAAAAATCATAAAAATCCGTCAAGTGGTTGATTCAGAATCGTGAAATAAAAAAAACCCTGTTTCGTTTTAATATATAGGATAACAATTGGTTTAACAAGTACCAAGGTTTGCTGCTACAGGGAGGGTAAAGTGTGTTTTAGTAAATAGCTTGGTATAAAATAAATAAATTTCCTAAGTTTGATCAAAATAAACAAGCAAACTACCAAAGTTAAATTATTCTCCATAAGATTAACATAGGAATCAATTTACAATTTTTTGAAATTTCCTCATAACCAGTAACCCTAAAAAGACACTTCTATATACTAAATTATTTGTTTTTTAAGTTCCTTGAAATAGTGTAAAGAGAAATTGGGAAATGTTATGTTTTGAGGGTCAAAAAAGATAAAGCCCAATTTTTACCCGATGAAACCCCCCATAACACCCCGTTCCCATAGTCCGATTATGCTGGCTCGCGAACTCATTCAAGTTTATCACGCCTTAACACCTTCAAGCTAAATTTTATTAAACTCGGACAAAAATTACTGAAGTTATTGCGAGTTTTCGACTATTGGACGACCCCTAGTATAGTAGAATTTTAAAGCATCGAATCAGAAAAATGTGTATCTTAAGCTACACTACAATATTTTAAGCACTATAAAAAGGCAAATAAGAAAAAATTGAAAAATAAAATGAAAAACAAAAACATCAACTCAATCTCCACTCAACTGCACTCAACCAGCATTCAGCATAGCTTGAAAAAAGACAAAACAAGAAGAAGTAGAAGAGTAGTGTAGTGAGTGAAGTGAAGACATGCCGCCGTGCCGCTGCAGATACGTTTTGCGTTCGTTTGTTCGTATTTATCGAATAAAAATTTAAAGTTTGTATTATATTTTTGAAAGTTTTTTGTGTCGACGAACATAAATCAGGTTTAACCATGGCTACGGTAAGTTTCTTCTGAAAAAGCTTTGTTAGCTGTAAATTACTAGGTGATTGTGAACTGGACTTCAAGTTTAGGTTATGCCGCTTGTTTAATCTTGCTTGTCTCTAGACCCCCTATACATTTTGTAATGAAAAATTGACCTAATTAATTGTAGCTAGATATTTGAGGTTTAATATGTATAGCCGTTTATTTATTTTAATTCTATGTTAGGTAATCAGTGTAGGTAACCTAGTTGCTACTGTAACATTCTACATAACTTAGCTGTAAGTTTAGGCTAGGCCTATTATTTCTCTATCCATCTTTCATAATAGGCTCAGGGTCTATAGCATATGTTTTTAAGTACGCTAAGGCGGTTGCACTTTACTTGACGTCCTACACTCATTCGAATGAAAATATCGATCGATATATCGATTAATCGATTGCTTCATTCGATATATCGTTTGGTTAGTTAGGTAAGGTTAACCTAACCTAACTAACCAAACGATATACTATCAAATGAAAATATCAAATCGAAAAAAACAATCAAATGAGTGTAGGACGTCAAGTAAAGTGCAGCTGCTTCTAATTTTGTCGTTTTAATTGTTTATATCTAACACATTTTGATGGATTATGACCATTCTGGCTCAATACCAGTGTAACTTACAGTTAGGCTACCGGTACATTTGTTGGCTGCACTTTAGTTTACGTCCTACACTCATTCCAATGAATATATATCGAATAATATAGGCCTAAGTTTATAAATAGGCTATAGATATTTTCATTCGGTTGAGTGTAGGACGTATAAACTAAAGTGCAGCCCATTTGTTTAGGCCTAGCCATAAGTGGTCAAAACAAGCTATACTATGCCTATCTTTTAAAGGCAAATATTTAAGTAGGTACTGTATTTACACTGGGATATGATGTAATACTTAGGTATATGTCTACTTACAGTATTTTTCGCTGAGTCCAAAAATGCAATCAGTTTTTGTCGGAGAGATTCCTAAGTGGCCGTAGTGGTAGTGGCCGTAAAACGAAGGTTAGGATTACGAATCTAAGGATAATTGAGCGGTACTGAAGGTAATGGTAATAAGGCGTGGTCTGGACGGGTCGGTACTGAGTGAGGAGTGAGGACTGAGTGAGAAGAGAAAACAACTGTTCAGACTTGATCTAATGCGGAATGAAATCAAATCAATTCGTTTTGAAACCAAATAATCAGTTCTTTTTTAGGCATGTGAGGAAGGTAGGTCGGGTTTTATGCGGATTCGTGACTAGGTATTAAGTCCTTTGAAGTTGCAGCCAATCTCAATCTGTGATATAATTTATAGGCCTAGCTACTGTGATATTATTCTGTGTATTAGTTTAGGAAATCTGGAAAACCTCAGAACTAAATTAGAATATTATAGCATGCCATATTGTCTAATTGTCAACTACAATGTAGCCAAAATTAGGATGTAGTTATTTTTTGACAAAATCAATCACAATATTGTATTGGTTAAAGATGGAATAAATGACTATTCAAGAATCCTTTCGGGCTCCGCCCCAGTGGCTCTATAGTTTCCCTTGTTAACCTTATGAGTATTCATATTTAAAGGGAATTGAAGAATTTAGTTAGCTGTTGCAACTAAAAAAGTTAATAGGCTATACAAAAGCATTAAAAAGTTAAGATTTACCAACAGGGTGTAACACTATAGGCGTAATTTTTTTTTGCATTTATGTAAACAGCTAATTTGAACTGAGCAGTAACAAAAAAACTGTTATACACAATGAAAACTGTCAAAGTAGGGTTGTTTACAGTTATATTTTAATGTCATGAATAATTTGTGATATTTTGTGAATTCGTAATTATTTATTTTTCTTTATTGTTTAGGTGAAGTGGTAGAACATTAGACTATGGTAGATGTGTAATACCATTAGTATACCGTCAATTTAAAGAAGCAAATTTTATCAAACTTTGTCCTCTCCCAATGCAAACGCAAAGCTTGAGTATAACTGCAATAAGCATTTTAAACTTATATGCCAACCCCGTACGAAGGACGGGTAGGCCTACTCTGCTAGTAGGCCTATATATTTATTTATGTAGGCTATGTATATTATATATACCGTTTGTGTGTCCGTTAGTGTGATAACATACCCAAATACCCCCGCTGCAGCAAACCTGCCGACTAAGCGAATTTCCATTTGCCTGGATTGATTTTCAATTAATCTATTAATTTAACAATTATGTTTAACGAGTACCTAGGTTAGAGACTACAGGGAAACTAAAAAGCGTGTTTTGGTAATTATCTCAACCTCCGGACCTCACCCGAGATTCAAATTTTTTTTCTCAAAATGTCTGAAAAATTGATTTGATGGAAAATGTCATTGTGTGTAGTCAATTTAACCGGTAGAGCAAGTTGAACAAGAATATCCAAGAATTTGTATGATCCGATGGATTTTTAAGGAGATACGGAAAAGCATCGGAAAATTATGTTAGCACCAAAATGACCAAAACTAGGTTAGGTTGGGTTAGGTTAGGATTGGTAAGGTAAGGTAAGGTTAGGTTGGGTTAGGTTACTAACAATACCCAAGTTATTGATAACCTAACCTAACCCAACCTATCTTTGGTAATTTTGGTCCTAACTAGATTTTCCAACTCTTTTCCGAGCCGTATCGCCGTTAATATCCATCGGATCCTGAAAACTCTTGCATATTCTTGTCCAGCTTGCTCAAACTTACCGGTTAATTTGAGTAAGTACCCACAATGTCATTTCCCGTACAAAAAATTTTTCAGGGTTTTTCCGATTTTCTGGGTAAACGGGTTGTTTCCTAGAAAAGCGACAACCATTTTTGGAATCAAAGTGAAATTTCGGACATTTTGAATCAAAATTTTTGAATTTTAGGTGAGGTACGGAGGTCGATTAAATTGCCTGTCTATGCCTGGAGTATGAAATGAAATAAATAAATTAGCCAAGTTTGATCGCCAACTAACTTGCAACATCATGTAATATTCTCCATAAGAATAACATGGAAATTTTAAATGAACAATTTTTTTATTTTCTCTGTAACCAATCACAGTACAAAAACAATATAGGCCTAGCAAAAATATAGCTGCCTTCAACATTTTGGTTGTGATGAGCAGAAGAGCTGCATGATTATACATTGGTTTTCTTTTGTCTTCATGTACCACATCAAAACTGACAGGGACAGGCCATAGTTTTGATTGGTTACAGAGAAAATTAAAAATTGTTCATTTAAAATTTCCATGTTATTTAACAATATATAACAACCAACATTTTGAAGGCTGCTATACCCTTAAAGCCCTTCACAAAGAAAACCCAAATCAAAACCCTAAAAGCAACCAACTGGTCTTAAGAAATTTTGAATTGGCTCACCAGTTGGTACAGAAAACAAATTTCCCCTCTGGTTCAAATTTATGATAGTAAAAAAAGTGATTCAACTCAGCTGAATTTTAATTTTCTTTTAGGCAGTTTTTTTTAAATCTGTTCTCAATCATATATTCTCAAAATTAAACTATTTGTAAACAGTTCATATTTATTTGTATTGTTATTTTAGTGAATTTCCCATTTAATATTGAATATGTTAGATTTAATATTGATTAAGTCCTTGTCCATACCCCGCTGTAGCTTATTAGCTTATTAGGTATGCCATTGCTGTGTTGATTTTAGCACTGGCTCTAATCCATAATCAACACACATTCACTGTTTATTGAAGCATACCTTCACTCTCTTGTTGTGTGGGCTGGTTAAAGCCACTTTTATAAAAAGTGGATTCAGCTTGGTGGAGGGATACTGTACTTACTGTTTGTTTTATAAAGCAGTGTCGATTAATAAATATTGTTTGCCTGAATTTGTATTTCAATGAAGTGACTTTGTTTGTAGATTCCGAGAGGGTGCTGCTCGCACTGCAAATATAAGGATTGTGAAATGAAAATGCAATACCTCGCTCTAGAAAAAGAGAATATGAGACTTAGAGATGAGATTGATAAAACAAATGCGCAAATAGGATGTCGTGTTCTCAAACTCTCCGACTACTGTTATATGAAGGAAAAGTTAAAATATGACATTGATGAAACAAAAAAACGATTACAAAAAACTGTAAAACAAAAGGACAGTATTTTGAGACAAAAGAACCGTATTTTAAGAGAAAAAGACAACGCAATCCAGAAGAAACTGAAAGAACTGGAATCCTTAAATGCAAAGTGCTTAAGACACAATGCGTTCTGCACCAGTCTTCAAGAAGCAAACTTGAAAATTAACAACTTAGAAGAAGAGAAAAACTTATTAACTTCTGAACTAGACAACATGACAAAGGAACAAAACAAATGGTGTAATAGTGCAAAAGAAAGAGCACAGGTTATTGCAGAATTTTTGAAAGCAAACATGCAAATGTAAGTAAAACATTACCTATGTTATATGTTGTAGTAGACTAAGATTAAAATGAAAGTTCATATGATCATATTAAACATATAGGCCTATATTATTCATTTGAGTTTGATTTTAACATTAAATTCTTATAAAGACCACGTAATCAAAAACTGTAATGTATGGCTGTTGTCCAATTTTGATCACCTTATTTTGAGGGTCTACAGTTTTATTGAAGTTGGTAATAAACGAAATTGATTGCCTTTAGATTCTTTTTCAAATCCAAATATGGGGGACTCTCAAAAACAACAGAATGGCTATTGGAAGTTGGAAATCAGTTAACTTGTTAGTATTTGACAGTTTTCTTAGTAATTTTAATTTAGGCATACTTTATTTGAAGCGTAGATAGTTTTGTCTGTTAGCAGACTTAGTGCAGCTTTGATTCATTTATTGGAATTAAAGATTATACTTCATATATGTACTGTTAACTTATCTTGTTTACTGCAACACACTTATTTGTTGCATTTATAACTACACTATACATATAAGTTAAATGTTTTTATTTGACTATGATGATACAGTAGAACCCCTCATATCCGGCCTTGGTTTTACCGGTCCTCTGTTTATCCGGCCCCTTCCAGGAAGCCAATATCAAAATGTTTTTCTCACAGATTACAGACGTTTAGATGCAAGCACTAGTCTTTCTGACTGCTCAAGTCGTCAAACAATTTGTTCTCAGTATTTATCTGTTTGTTTATGTTTATACATTTATTTGCTGTGTCACTATACTCAATTGAGCTAGTAGGCCTAACCTCTGATCAGTTGGTTGATTATTTCCAAAGCGGGGTTAGTACAGTACATTAATCTTTGTATTTCACAAAATGGATAAGAATGTAAAGTTGAAATGCATGTACCATTTAAGTCCCATAACGATCTTCAAGTCCAATTTATTGTCTTTTTTACCACCATTTAATACCTTTTGTTACCTGGAATCATCATATTTGTACTGTACTTGTTTCATTGCTTAACGACTTTAACCTAAAAATATTTTTTGTCTTTTTACAAACATGTTTATTTTTTTAAATCCCAGAAAAGGCTGGAATGATACTTTTGACTGCATATTTTGATTACCTATTATTATTAGGTATGAATTGTCATTTTCATAGTAGGTTGGTTTATCCGGCCAAATCGTTATCCGGCCATGAGCTTGGTCCCGTCGTGGCCGGATATGAGGGGTTCTACTGTATTACCCAAATCACCCCATTGACCAAGAATTTAACTCTACAAAAATACCATCGGTTTGATCCCTTGTTGGCTTTTTGACCCTGAATAACTATGTGCACAATCGTGCGTTTTTGTGTACGCCAAGCGTATACCTTGACGCAGATGGACGCAAGTAACGCATGCGTCATGGCATGCCCGAAATTATTCCAAAAGAGCTCCATTCCAAAGCGCAAGATGATCCACCAGCCTTTTATTTCTGTGCGTTTTAACTTACAACCGCTTTATATATTTGAAAAATCGTCCAGAGAAAATTTATCACTCCTTAAAATGAAATAAATAAATAAGACAAATTGTGAGTTGTATTAGTACTCCTTTTTCCACATTGTACACCTTGATTTCTTACTTTTGTGAAATTTTCAATAACACTAAATATACCGCACCAATTCCTCCTATCAGAATAGCGTCGTCTTCTCCCAACTAGGAAAGTGAGGCGTGAGTGTGACAGCTATAAGGTATGCCTCAAAGCGCTTGCAATGCCGCATTCGTTGATGCATGTTGAATTGAAAGTTAAAAATAGAAAGGGCACTAGTTTGGAAATAGCTATTAAGAGGATCAGGATTTTACTACATGTTGGTGATGTTTGATTTTTCCAGTGTTGACTATAACAGCTGGAAGGCTACAATGAGTCTATCCGAGGAACTACAAGCAGTGAAGGGTAGTTTAGATGACAATACCGCAGATTTGATGTTTTTGAAACAGTCTTTACAAACGACAAGTGAGGTGAGTTACGAGTTACGACTAACATAATTTGCGACTTCCGAAGGAAATAAAGTCTCAGTCAAAGAATGTTTAATGTCAGATGACTTGAATGATGAAAAGAGCACTTAATACACTGTGTACTGGGAGATCTGTTATGTATTTGTGTTGATTTATAATACTTGATTGACATATCAGGTTAATTGTAAGAAAAGGCCTTATTGATCAGCTTGTGGGCTTCACTCACCTTAATTTGTTAATCTAGGACTCGTCAAAATGTAACACAAGGAAGACACTATCACACAACATACACGCACATTAAAAATCGTCCTTGGATTTACTTCGACGTTACGCAGGACCAAAAATGTCCCCCAAAACGTCGTAAAGGATGATTTTTTATGTGTGTGTATGTAGTGTGATTGTGTCTTCGTTGTGTTACATTTTAACGAGTCCTGGATTAACAAATTAAGGTGAGTGAAGCCCACAAGCTGATCAATATAATAAACCTCGCCTAAAAACATGTCTTTAAAAATAAAGGCCTTGTAGCCCTATTACTGCCTGAAAAAAATATATTTCATCCATTTTCCGTATCAACTTTTTAAACTTCAAAAAAGAATACTTAGAATTATGACTTTTAAACCCGTATTGCGTAAAATGTTCTAGCAAACAACTTTTTAAAGAATTAAAGATTTTAACCGTCCCTAATTTCTATATTCTTAAATGTTTATTGCATGTGAAATCAAATTTTGAAAAACTCCACAGTGAAAATAATTGGCACAATTATAACACTAGGTTTCATACAGATTTTCAATATCCTTTACACAGATTGAATCTTGTGGAAAGGACACCTTCTTATATAGGTAAACGATTTTTTAACAATTTGCTTGGGTACTACAAATTAATAATAGGATTAGTAGGTATCTTTAAAATCTTATCTTTAAAAATCATCCTATCTTTAAAAAAATTGTTGATTTTTTGTTGGAAAAGAATTATTATAGTATAGATCAGTTTCTTGAAGACAAATCATTGTGAATTGTTTGTTTTGTTACTATGTATTTATTTTTACCAATAAGCTAGTTTATTTTAGTATGGTTTGACAATGTCGCCTGTTTTGTCTGGCTGTGCTAGAGCAATTAAAAAAATGTTATGTGACAGTAAAGATGACTTTGACATTGACCTTTAATTTTATAAAAAATGAACATTAATTGTATAGGCCTACTATAATTGTATACACATACTTGATATACAACAATAACCAGAAACTTGTAGGGACATTCTTTTAATCAGCTAAAATACTATCGTGTCCTTTATTTTATTTATAATTTTTGTAATTATTATCATTTGTAATTATTTTTTTCAGGCATGCCAAAACTGCCAAACATCCTTTCTAGAACAGAAAACTCTTTTGGAAGAAAAAATACTACAATTGGAAAATCAAATAGTGAATGACTCTTTTTTGCAAAACCAACAGTCAGAGATGATAAAAAAGCTAACACAGAAAAACGAGGACTATAAAAAAAGGGGAGTGAAACGTATTAAGAAAGAGCTATTGTCACCAACAGGCAAGTAGCATTTTCTTCCTAATCTGTGATACACCTGTTACACTTTGTATATTATTATTCAAAGAAATATGGTCAGTTTGAGTATTGAGGTCTTAAAACATTTATTCTACTTTTTGGCTCTAAAAGAATTTTATGAATAGCTATTAAATATATCAACAGAAATTTGGATATCAGTTAAACATTTGAATGGATAGTTTGAATGATTCTGGACATTTATTTTGTTATTGTGTTATTATTAGTGTATGCTTAACCCAAATATTTGTAGATATTTTAAGATTTTAGAAAAGTTTTGGATTTAACCCTTTGAGTGTTATTTGTCGATGCTTCGACACATAACACACCTTGTGTAGTGTTTTGTGTCGATGCATCGACTCACAAACACTGTTTACGGCGAAGCCTCTATGACTGAAAAAAATCGGATTAAACTGGATCGAGTTAGGTATCGTTTTATTTGTCAGATTCAGAGCTTTCTCCGGAGGTCTGTCTCTAAGCGCTTTTCATTTTAGTTCCGAAAATATTGTAGCAGACAGCTGACGTGCTTATTTGTAAACAGCTTGGTTAACCTCGTACCGATGACTGATGTGTTTTATTACGTTTATCATTGTTTTAGTGTTAAAAATCAAAAGTAGTGATATACGTGGTGCATTATAAGAAGATTTAAGTGATTTTGAAGGGCTGGTTGATGATCCTGAAGAAGTAGGTAGTGATATTGATGTAAATTATCAGCCAGATTCCTAGCTATGGTTAGGCTATGGATTCTTAGCTAAACGCTATGTACTGAAATCAGTTTTTTGCCCATAACTTATTTATTTGCAAATCTACTTCCTTATATTATTATATATTTGTAATCCTCATAAAATTTAGAACAAAATAGCCATTTTCAAATATTTATAGGCCTATAATTTATACAATTTCATTGAGCGCGAACTATTTTTTTTTTTTTGAAAATTTTCCAAAATATTTTTTTTTACCTTAAAAAATTTTTTGAAACAAATTTTCCTTATGTTTTATGTATAATATTGAAGCCCATGATTTTCCAAACAAAATGGTATATAGAACAGTATAATTAACATTGTTTTCAAGCTTCTCAGATCCGTTTTAATAAAACCTTGCAAATGAGCAAAAAATAGGCAGACATTAAGGCCAAAACAAGGGACACTCGGAGGGTTAAAATATAGTTAAAAGTTTATGTGTAAAAAATAGTAGTTTTACACTTTTATTGGTTATTCTATAATCTATATATTAATAGGCAAGCATGTTTCTTTAAAACCTTTTTTCTCAGCTCGTGTGCATCACAGGGAAAATGTGCGTATACTGTTAGAAAGATATTTTCCTGTAGATGTGCAAAATCCCTTTAACCCTTTCAGTGCTATGAAATGATATATCGTTGTTTTAAAAAAACCCTAAGGGATATAGAGAGGAAGGTTATTTTAAAAAAAAATAGCAAAACGGCCATTGGTGACCTGTATGTTCATAGGATACACTACCAACCACTTAGCTAAAAGATTCGCCCAATCCGATGATTTCGAGGTGTATGTCTAAACCAAGGATTATGAACACCTCACTATGCCACAGTGGTTGTAGTATATCGCTACAAACACACAGGTCACCAATTATTTGCCACACAGGACGGGATTCGAACCCGAGCAGACGAATGCCACTGGCCAAGTGACACACGCCCTAGCCTTCTCGGCTATCTGTGCTTGAAGACTGGGGAGTCAAAAACCTGTATTTAAGCTGTCGCCACCGATTGCGAACAGATGGCGCTGCAGATTGTTGTTCAATGCGTTACTAGGTAGCAGCACCAGTTAGTCACGGACTATTTAGATGCAATCTTTTAGTTTTAGTAGTAGTAAATGTGTTCCTGAGACTTTGCTGCAAAACATTAGTTTCCCTAAAATGGCTATATTACGATAACCTCGTCCAACTAAATCAGGGTTAAATTCAATATTACATTGTAAACTATATGTCTTTTGATTTTATGAGATTTCGGTTTCAAATAATGCTATCAGAACATAAAAATTTATAGGAAAACCAGGAAAATTACAACAAAAACTAAGTTTTATTTAATGTTTACTACAAATACCGGGATTTATCTTTCTTATATATTTTCTTATTGTGTCATTATTCAAAATTAGCCTAATTAATAAAATAGTGACAACATGACAGTTAAAATTCAACAACAGGTAATGGAATTAAAAGGCAAACAAAAAAGTCTTACAAAATATGAATTATTGGCCTAGCACTGAAAGGGTTAACAATTAAAATAGGCTAAACAATAAGCTCGAAAAATGGATTTGAAATTATAAAAAAATTAACATGGGCTTTATGGGTTGCTATGCTGGTGACGAAATAACAACGAAATATAAACAGAAAATCCAAACAAATGGAAGAAATTACAATCACATGTTTATTAGCTATATCAACTGTTATGACCCATCAACTTTGTCAGCAACAAAAAATAAGGTAGAAAATATAATTTAAGACACACATTCCGCGACTGGCTCACACAACTAAATGTTTTTTTAATAAAAAAAATGACACAGCATCTGGTCCATATAAATGGGATGCCTACTTCAGTATCCAATAGTCAATACGTGTACATTACATGGTTTTGGCCGAGTTTTCAACCACTAGTAATAATAATTTAAAAGGTAATTCCAAAGGTATAATTTGGAAATTTCTTATAGGGACTAGCACTTTGGCTATTCTTCTTTATAAACAAATCGAACTAATTAAATAACTTACGTCGTCAATCCATAAATTTCTGTGGAGTACGCATTTCAACCATCAGGTCATCCTCAGCTCCACTGTCACTAGGTTGAATCTGTTTCTATGTTGCTTTGTAGCAACAGCGTCGATGTATTAAATAAATAGTCCAAACACATTTTACATTTATGACACATACACGACGACACGTACGAAACATTTAGGTAACGAAATACTATGATATAACACCGTGCGCACGGCTGGACGGGCTCAGGTTTGCGGCTACACAACCTTTGATTTGCGGAGTGTAGCCGCAAACCTGAGCCCGTCCAGCCGTGCGCACGGTGTTATATCATAGTATTTCGTTACCTAAATGTTTCGTACGTGTCGTCGTGTATGTGTGATAAATGTAAAATGTGTTTGGACTATTTATTTAATACATCGACGCTGTTGCTACAAAGCAACATAGAAACAGATTCAACCTAGTGACAGTGGAGCTGAGGATTACCTGATGGTTGAAACGCGTACTCCACAGAAATTTATGGATTGATGACGTAAGTTATTTAATTATTTGATAACTCAATCCGTTGTGCTACAATATCGACATATGAACAAATCCAAAGACGAGCCAAAGAAAGAACTTTGTAAAAAACTTGTTTTTTCTATTTATTTTACTACTTTGTTTTCAAATTTAGTTCATTGTAGTTTGTAATTGTAAATTAAATAAACTTATTATTACAATAGAACCTCACTTACTCGACAGTCACCAGCTGACAGGGCGCCTACAAAAATAGGAAAATTTTTAAAGAATATTTAGTTTGAATTTAAATTCAACATTTAATGTTCAGCATGTCTTTGATGATTGTTTACTCAATATGTAAAAATACTCATGTTAGTAATAAATTTATTTGTAAAAAGTAGTCTTTTATGAATCTATTCATTGGTGTTCTGGATAACTCGACAAACTCTGAGTCCACAAATAGTCAAGTTAGTGAGGTTTTACTGTATCAGAATGTTCAACTGATCAGGACAGCGAGAAAACCGGGAACTGTCCCAAATTAGGAAGACCAGACGAAAGCCAATTTTCCCTCCACCGCGGGAAATTAAAGTTATGTTGCCGTGATCGCAACAGTTGTTCACGGGAACCTTTTCTAATGTTAAAAGTGTTTGCTTAGTAGGCTACATCACTAATTAAACCTAATTTTCAATAGTGTAGGTACTGTTATCAAACTGTATTGTGATTGTATTTTGAGTTGTGTTTTACTTATCCTGTTAATTTGTTGCTTGTTGTGTGGTGGAAAATATCGCACATGACTCACCTGGGTAGGTGTTTACGGTCCTCACATGAAATCCTGTGCGAGGCTTGCCGACAAAGGGAACTAATCATGCTTGTATCATAACAACTACTTCCCAGTGTTTTTTTTTAAATGTCCCTTTAAAAACTTACTTTCACTGTTAATTTTATGTTTAATTTTATTGTCTTAACTGTATGTTTTCCTTGCAGGTGACATGAACTTACCTCCCACACCATCAACCCCAGATCAAGACATGTACCAAAATAATGAATTCGAAGATGAGGAATCTTCAAAACTTAAACAGAATAGTCAAACAGCTAACTGTCCTCAGACAATGCTATGTTCGGTACAAGTATCCTCTGAAGACATTAATAGAGTTGACGATTGCAGTACAAGTTTTCAAAATATGCCGTCTACAATTGCTGTTGAAGAAAATATTGAGACTAAAGCAGTCGTACATGAACCTGCCCTAAATAAAAAACCCCATATATAAGAACTCTCCAAAAGAAAATGCATCAAATAGTATCGAAACTGGTGACATAAAAGTATCACCATCATCACCCATGAATCCAGTTGTTCTCAGAGTCAACACTAAAGAAGTGACAATGTCTGATGAAGACATTTCTGTTTTATCACCAAGACCTGTTGAGATTTTTGAAACCCAGAAGCAAGTCAGTAGGGTTAGCTCAAGAGGTGAAACTGTTGATAGTAAAACCAAATGCAGCGTGGAATTGGACCAAACGATTCTGTTTAATAAGCGAAAGAACTCTACAGAGGAAAAAGTATATGATAGCTCAGAGAAAACGGACTCCTATGGCATTAAAGCATTACAATCTTTTAAAAAACCAGTTTTGCCAGTCGATGAGGAAATGTGTGATGAAGACCATCCCATTTCATCACCAAGCCCTGTTAAGATGCCTGGGACCCAGAAGGCACATAGTATGGTGAGCCCTGAAATTGGTGCTTTAAATAATAAAACTAAATTGAGTGTAAAGTCAGACGAAATAGGTTTAGAGGAAAGCACACAAGCCAGTAGCAATGACCAAGTAATTAATAACAAGATTCAGTCTCCAGAATATTTAGAAATCATAGATATTCTTAGTGAGGTAACTCAAATTCCATCAATACTTAGTCCGATAAGGCCTCTTAAAGTAAAGTGTGATAAAAGACCGATAGAGTTGAACTTACAGACTGATTATCCAAAGCGACGCAAAACTTTATTTTCACCAACACACAGTAGCAACTTAAGTGAATTCCCAGTCTTATGTGATCTTAGAAAAGACCTTGTCGATTTAAGCCCTGAGCCTGTTGAAACTTTCATTGAGGTGAAACCAAAAAATAGTTGCGGAGAAGAGAATAAATCTCCTAAACCAAGTGTAATTAAAAAAGAGAGAAAGCCTGGTAGTGACAGCCACACTGCAAGTGAGATTGAGGCAACTCCTAAACCAAGTGTAATTATAAAAGAGAGAAAGCCTGGTAGTGACAGCCACACTGCAAGTGAGATTGAGGCAGCTCCTAAACCAAGTGTAATTAAAAAAGAGAGAAGGCCTGGTAGTGACAGCCACACTGCAAGTGAGATTGAGGCAGCTCCTAAACCAAGTGTAATTAGAAAAGAGAGAAAGCCTGGTCGTGACAGCCACACTGCAAGTGAGATTGAGGCAGCTCCTAAACCAAGTGTAATTAAAAAAGAGAGAAAGCCTAGTAGTGACAGCCACACTGCAAGTGAGATTGAAGCAGTCAAAAAAGAATGTTACGTCGTTTTAGAGGATATCAATCACATTTCAGAGAAAAATGAAAAAAGCCCATGTCTTAACCAAACCAGTCAAGGCTTGAAATTTGTTGACAAACAAATGTCCAAATTGACTCCTAACACTCCTGATACGATTACTGAAGTTAGTAAAAATGTTGATTTGCTCCTCTCATCTCCCAAAAATATAGTTAAGTCAAAGAAAGTCCCAAGAGAAGTTCAAGCTCTGCTTTCTCAAAATAGCCTTTTTACTTCCTTTCAATCATATGATACTGAAGCTAGATCACCTCAGCGGTCACCAACTTCACTAGCCCGTTATGAATTGCGTTTGTCCCCGAAAATGAAACCATGTTTACAATATTACGATGTAAGCTCTAGTAAAGCCAAAGCTAAATCTTGCACAATCAAAACTTCAGAATCTACCAAAAGAAGAAATTCAAAAACAACTAAATCACAAACGGTTTCAAAGTCAAAAACAACTAAAACAAAGGATTCACACAGTTCTACAAAGAAAACTATTCCGCACTCACCAACATATACTAATCATCTATTTTCTCCCAGATCACCCGAAGCAATGAAACATTATAACATGAGGTCCTTAACCTCACAGCAAGTGTGTGAACATTGCACTTCATCAACTTGTGTGGGAGCTGAAAATGTTGTAAGAAACCCAAACAAAAAGAGAAAGTCATCAGGTGTTAAAGAATCTCACAGACCTGAGCAATCTACAGCTTTAGTAGACATCACTTGTAAAATAAGACCCATTAAAAATAACATATCGGAAAACGAGATCAATGTGCGTAAAGAGGATGTTGAACTTCTGGCAACAAAATTAAAAATGTCTCCACAAAATAGAATGGAACTATTAAAACAACAAGAAAACTTGGTAAACAAGATTGAAATTAATACGAAGGAGAAACAGCCAGCAAAGTTAAGGTGCTATACACTTGAAAACAAGAAGAATGAAAATAGACTTGACGAACTTGAGTCCAATAGTATTACTGCTGGCTTACTCAAAATTTCTGAAACATCACTAACAGATGAGACTGAAGATCCTTTGTTTACAAAATCTGTTCAGTCTTTTGCAGAGGAACCCAACAAAGATATTAATTACAAGCCAGATATTATGATTAAAACATGTTTTAGGGAAGAACAACTAATCATGAAATCAGATGTGACAATCAAAAGTCTTTGCTATCAAAGCAACTGGCATGATTTGTACAAATCCAGGAAATATCAAAGAGACAGTAAAAAAAGATCAATCCTTTCTTTAAATATTCTTAAAATTAACAATACGTTAATAAGTTCACGTATGGATGTAAAAAGAATAAATAGAATAACAAATTCTCAAAAAAAGCATTTTCTCACTAAACAGATGGGAAAGGTTTGTAAAAAGCATAAAAAGGCAAGTAAAATATTAAAAAAAGGATCAAGCAATGTAATAAAATCATTGCAAATGGTAATTATGAATCCTTGTCCTAAGCTGCGTTTCAACAGCTCAATATCAACAATAAAGAAGGACCGAAATGATGCAAAAGTTATTGATCAGAAGCAACGTAAAATAACAGTAAAAGCAGTCCAAACTCCTGAAAAAGTATTACAGGAATATCAGAATAGTAATTCTTTAATAACTCCAGAAGCTATACAAAAAGTAAATCTGAACAAGTGTCCTGTGCAAAGTAATGTTAGGAAATTGAGAGCAAGTAACAATCAACCAAGTGATGCAAAAGCAATTGTTTATAAACAACATAACATAACAGCAGGAAAGGAAGTCCAATCTTCTGGAAAATTGTTACAGGAATTCAAGAATCCCAACACTCTACAGGCTTCAGAAAGATTACAAAGGGAAGATCTGAACTCTTGTCCTGTGCAAAGTTTGGCCAAGTCATTGTCAACAAGTAAGGACAAACCAAGTTCTGCTAAAGATATTGTTCATAAACAGCATAACATAGAAGCAGAAAAGGAAGTCAAACCCTCTGAAAAATTGTTACAGGAAATCAAGAAATCGAACTCTCTATCTACTCGAGAGGCAAAGTCTAGGGTAAGTCTGGACGTGTTTCCTGTACAAAGTGTAGACAAGTCTATTTCACCAAGTGATGCAAAAGCTATTGTCCTGAAACAACATGACATACCAGTAATAGTCCAGTCCCCTGGAAATGCCACTGTGAACAATTTGAACAGCAATTCTTTACAAAGGCTAGAACTATTACAAAGAATAAATCTAGACTTTAGTCCTGTGCCAAAATTCGGCAAGTCGGCGTCAGCAAGTAGGACGAATTTAAGTGATTTAAAATCAAAGGTTCATAAAAAACATGTTATAAATGCAGAAAAAGAAGTCTCATCTCCCAAAATAGTCTTAGAGAAAAATGGGAACCTTAATTCTTTACCTACTCCAGAACTATTGCAAAGGGTAAAGCTGAACCCTTGTTCTGTCCAAAGATTCACAAAGTCAACGCCAGCAAGTAGAAAGGAAGAAAGAGATGTAAGATCTATGGTTCATAAACAACATGTCATTATCGACAAAGAAGTCCAATCTCCCAGAAAAGCTGAAGATAACAATCTATACAGTTACTCTTTACCTACTCCAGAACTATTACCAAAGGTAAATCCAAACCCTATTCCTATGCAAAGATTCAAGAAGTCATCTTCAGCAAGTATACAAAGACTAATTGATGAAAACGCCATGGTTCATAAACAACCTGTCATTATAGACAAAGAAGTCCAAGCCCCCAGAAAAGCCAAACAGAACAATCTAAACAGTTATCCTTTATCTACTCCAGAACTATTACCAAGGGTAAATCCAAACCCTAGTCCTATGCAAAGATTCAAGAAGTCATCTTCAGCGAGTATGCAAAAACTAAGTGATGAAAAGGCTATGGTTCATAAACATGTCATAACCACAGAAAATGAAGTACAATCTCCCAGAAAAATCTTGAAGAAAAATGAGAACTGTAATTCTTTACCTACTCCAGAACTATTACAAAGGGTAAATCTAAAATCTATTCCTATGCAAAAATTCAGGAAGTCATCTTCAGTGAGTATACAAAAACTAAGTGATGAAAAAGCTATGGTTCATAAACATGTCATAACTACAGAAAAAGAAGTCCAATCTCCCAGAAAAATCTTAAAGAAAAATGAGAACTGTAATTCTTTACCCACTCCAGAACTATTACAAATGGTAAAACAAAACCCTTGTCCTGTGCAAGATTTTAACAAATCATTGCCAGCAAGTACAAAGAACCTAAGTGATGTAGAATTGACTAAAGAACCTCGCATTACAGAAGTAAAAGAAATCCAAAGTATTGACTCACAAATATTAAGGAATCGTGAATCGTTTCCAGCTGCTGAAGATGCTGATGAGTCTGATGAAGATTGCCTTTCGATATTTGTGGATGATAAATTATTGAGTCCGCCAGTAGAAACAGAGTATTCTAGCCACTCACTTGATGGGGAAATAATTCCTCAGAGAATAAATACTGAATTTAAAAAAGATAAAGCATTTGATGGTGTTGGAGGATCAAAATTGACAGATGATTCAAAAAGAGAAAGAACGACATCAACAGAAAGTGCTAAAACGGCAACAAGCTACATCCACTGGACACCAAATCTAGTTTATGATGCTGGGAATTGGGTGAAAGCAAATACTAGTATGACTTCAATAATGAGTGGTGCTGAAGCTTCCTTTAAAAGTGAATCCCCCGAAATCCAAAACTCGAGTTCTACAGTTTATTTGCCAAACTTCTACGCAGAACACAAAGATGCGATTGAAAATGATCAAGAAGCTACCAGTTTAGAAACAGTTACACAGAAAGATGATAAGGTAGATGACAGAAAAGTTTCAAATAATTACATATCTCAAATTACATTGGACAAGATAGTTCCAAAGGGAGATAAAGTAAAAGTAGAAGAAACTGTCTTACGAACAGTGGTAAACAAAAGTAACAATGAATGGGCTACTTACAAAGAAAGAAATCAAACAGAAGAAAGAAATATACAGGCTCAAATTCACGTACCAGGTAAGTAGTGTTTTAATATACTTTTTTAATAACTAGCCTAATGAAAAAGAATCGCCGTAAAATGTTCTTTGCCTTTTTGAACTAGATCTAGGTGATTAATCATGATTATTGTTCTGAGGAATTGATGTTTTAAGTATGAATCATAATAATACTTAATTGAACATTTAACATTTTTTATAAATGGGTAAACTAATTTCTACTTTCAATAAGATTTTTTATTTTTTTTAAATGAAAATAAGGATCCATACGAAAAAAAAAAAAAAAAAAACTTAAATAATGTGCAATAAGTTTAAATTTTGGTTGGCATCTGTCACAAGTTTGCTGGTAATTGTGAAGTAATCTGTTAACTTGAATCGAAAATGAAATGGTTCATTCATTCAAGTTTGGGTCGTTAAATAATTATTTAAAATATGTAGTTTTATACATTTAGTTTTTTTTTAGAAGCTTTAGCTTGTAATTATTTATCCCAACATTTTGTAGCATAACGTATAGTAACAAACTATGAAAAATAAGTAAGATAAGTAAACAAAATAGCCTCGCCGCAGCAAACCTGCAGACTAAGCGAATTCCCATTTACCTGGCTGGATTTCTACTAAAATATTCCCTAAAAATTGTCAGATTTATTTCCTATTTAATTAACATTAATTTTAGTGAGTACTTAGGTTTGCTGTTACAGGGAGGATTTTGAGATGGGTTTTTTATTGCAATGTTGATAGCTTGGTATTAAATAAACAAAATTTCCAAAATTTGGTTTAATTTATCCATAAACAAGCAAACTACAACAGTTAGTGGAGAATAAATATCCATAAGAATAACATGGGAATTTTAAATTAAACATTTTTTCAATTATCTCTGTTACCGTTAGGCATACAACAACGCTTGAATGTACACAATTATTTCTTTTTAAGCTCTACAAAATGATTTGGCAGAGAAATTATGAAATTATGTGTTTTTAGGGTCAAAAATGGGAAAAATCTATTTTTACCTCATAAAACCCCCCATACCCCTGTTAGCATAGTCCGATTATGCTGGTTCGCGAACTCGTTTGAATAAAAGTAAATTTACTTGTTTGTACCAAATTTCATCAAAATCTGATTATTTTTACTCAAGTTATCGTGCTAACTGACACATATATATTAATTTAGGTGTTCACGTAATAGGGCTGCTGATATATTACATTATAGTAGTAAATAAAAACTAAAAATATAATATTCAGGGTGCTCTTTTGTACTTTATTTACTACTATAATTTATATATATATTGGCTATATATATGAATTTTAACGGATGATGTTTTTGTAAATCGGTCCCGGGTCTAGGTCTTACCATGAGACCTGCAGTAATAGCTTATTCCCTGTATGGGAATTTTTCCAGGGTTAAATTTTGTTTTTAACTATTGAACTAATCGTTTGTTGTTTTTTTTTAGCTAACCAAACTGAAAAGGCAACGAAGATAATACAACCTTTGTTTACCACAGTGTTAAAGAGCATTGTAGACATTGTTAAAATCGCCAACGAACTAGAGTGCTTCAGTCTCCGTGTGATATTAAAGTAAGTATTGTAGAAAACTAGCGTCTAGACTGCCAGTGCAACTCCGAGGATCGAGGATCAGAGGCGCTGTGGCACCACCGCACCATGTCTACGCTTCCGAATCATACCGGCTCATCCATCAGCATAGCCTATCTAACTGTTCGGGGAAAATTGTTATCTCTATCACTATCAAAACGTATAATTTGTAGGTTAAATTAAAATTAAATATAATTAAACTGTCATAACCTAACCAAACTAACCAAACTTGCTGATAATGATAAACTCAAATGAAGGTTTACTAATTGAAAAAATAGCTCTGTTCTAAAAATAAAATTATAAATGTCTCAAATTCAATTTTATAATTTTTCAATTATTAAATTAAACTGTCATAACCTAACCAAACCAACCAAACTTGCTGATATGAAAAAATGTGTTGACAAAAAGTTAGTGCTACAAGCGGGATTCGAACTCGACACCTTCAGATTATTAGCCCGATGCGCTATCCACTACACCATCAAGGCTCATGACACAACTTTGTATCGTTGCGGTAATGGTTGACGTCACGCCATTGGCACGGAGCGGTGGTGGGGGGTTTTCCGATCTGATCCACGATCCTCGGAGTTGCACTGGCAGTTTAGATGCTTATTTGTAGAAATAGTAGCCTATCGTAAGAAATATTTGGGCTTGCACATTACAATATGCATACAGAGTTAAGCACAGGCCCAAGGCCCAGGAAAACAAAAGATTTAAAGTAGCTACAAACATCTTTAAAAATATATAAATAAGCAAACTAATTGGGCTGATATTTCAAGCATTTTGGGACATTTAAAACTAAATACAGTGCCAATGGTGTTATTTTCGTGATATAAATCATTCTTGATCTCTCTCAAACCCTGTGTATAATATGTTTTGATATTGGTTTCTATTCCTATTAGCTTAGATATGTGTAAAAATTAACTAATTTTTTTTTCTTATTGCAATAAACATTGTTACAGAGCTGTGTTGGTGTTGTTACATAAATTTTCATCGGAACATACTGAAGAGAATCCAACAGCGGCTTGGATGCACAAAGCTGTGTACAATGTCACTTTACCAAATAAAAGAAGTCCATTTGTACACCCAAAAATTCAAGCTCTTCTTCTTCTCTTGCACATGATCATTGATAAATTTACCAATGAAAAAAACGCTGAAGAGAAGAGGAAATTTGTGGAAGAGGGACTTTATTTCATGGAATTGGCATTTCTTGATACAATCCTGGAATTCAGACAATCGGTAATAGTTTGTTACTAATTTTTTTAGTGTTTTTCATTGTTGGTGGCATGTAAACAAGGTTTTTTAATGAACAAATCCAGTCGTGTTTTAAAGTAATTGTTATCTTAATGTTTGACAGGTATTATCAGTAATCCCTATGGCTTGAAATTTTACAGAAGGAGAACTGCTCTGTTTGCAAGAAAAACTCAGTTTGTTGTACATTTTTAGTAGCCTACACATAACAACATCAACATCCTTTTCTAAACTTACTCATATAATTTATCATCACTGTTATTGTCACGATCATGAGAAATAAAAAAGAGAACATGATCACCTTGCACGAAGGAGTGTGAGAGTAGTGTAATTTTTAGTTGGTCTAAGTTTTCCCAAAAGCTCGCAAGCTTTGAGCTTTTTCCAGTCAAGCATTTCATAGTAACGTAATTGCATGATTTGGCAAATTTAGTATTTCATACACCATTAATAAAAAAAAACTTTTTCTTCCCTGTTGCAGCAAACCTAAGTACTCTTTAACCATTATATCATTTAAATAGGTAATACATCTTATATGTTTTAGAAGATCTTAGATGTTTTAGTGGAAATCCAACCAGACAAATGGAATTCGCTCTTAGTTTGCAGATTTGTTGCAATTGGGGTGGTTTTAAACGAAGAATTGTTAAGGAAGTGTATTCTATGAAGAATTTTTAACTTTACAATCTGCGTTTACAACCAATTTTTTTAATGTTTTACAGAAAGCAATATTCTGGCTAACCATTGGTATGATCTACACTATACTGGCTCGACACTACGGTTTCTTAGCGAGGGTGCGAAAGTTGATGTACGACATGTTCTACTGCTTCACCCGACGCTCTCTAGTTGTAGCTCATGCAATGTTGCTATTATGGCCTTCTGTGTTACCCCCAAAACCCATTGAGTTCTATTCTGGTAAGTTATTGTTTTACAGATCTAACCTAGAACATCTGTCCTTATGTACAACTAGCAGTTACCTGGCGTGCGTTGCTGCACTAACTATTATTTTAAACTAGATATAGATATCAATAAACTAGAACATAAGAAATTTTATGTTCATCACTTGTAGACATTGTTTTACAAAGACATGGATCGTAAAACGTTGAGGAATAATTCACAACATTTTGGGAAAAAATTAAAAACAAACTAAGACCCGTTTATTCACAGCAAATATTTCAATCCTGATCTGTTAATTTTTTATGTTCATTATTCCATTACATTTAAATTTAAAATCCATTGTAATGGAGTGAATAAAAAATAATCAAATTGCAGTATCACCTCCAACATTTCCTATAATCAAAGTAACATCATCAATGTTTTCTATGATTAGAGTAACACCAGTCAAGAGCTGGCCTTAGGCATGCTAAAAATATTGTAGTAGCACGGCCCCCCAATTCTCAAGGGGTCTCTGCTTTTGAAAAAAAATCCATTAATTGCCAACCATTGCCGCAATAGTAAAAATTATTGCAGTTTCACAACCTCAGGAGATGATTAAGGTTGATACCGTTTGTCAGAAATCCACTGATCTTGTTGCAATCATGAGGTGCTCACTGTGGCTTTATGACTACACAACAGTTTGAAATTGAATCATAAATCAGAACGGATTTAAAATAAAGTAAATAAAAGTGTGGAATTTTTTAAAGTATGTTGAAAATCATTAATTTAATTTGAGACTTTATAAAGTTTTTACTTAAGTAAAAATAGTTTATTTAAAATTTCTGTAAGCTACTTTTACACTCTAGGCCTACCCGTGGCATGAGAATTTCACCAATGCTGTTATGTAAATAAATATAATTCTTAACAGTTTAACAGTAAACAGTAAAAAAATACTTATTTTCAGTGTTTATAAATTTTGAATTGAGTTGTAAAAAAAGAGGCTATTGTTCCATTTGAGAGGTGCTGAACCTTTTCCCAATTCTTAAAGATTCTAGTTTTTTTAGTTATTTTATTTTATTATTTTTCTTTTTTTAATGAATTTTATCTTTATTTATCTTTTAATACAGTTTTTAATCTTGGTTTACAGTTACTTTTGGCTAAATGATTGTATGATATACTTTGAACCTTTTTGCCAAATGCATTGATATTTGACTCTAAAAATCTCAAAGGTTGAATCTCAGTCAATCCTAGAAGTTTTCACATCGATCACGTAAAGATAGTGTTAAACGACTTAAGTAGAAATTTAAGGTAGCCTAAGACTATTTACGCGAGTTGCGTACACTACTTTACCTACGACAGTGTTTTAATTATTAACAATCACTACTCATAACTTTCAAGGGAGGTTATGTTTTTGTTTATAACATCTCGTTGCTACTGATAGTGATGCAACGAATCATTGTACAAACACTACTTGCACCACTCATTAACAATTAAATTGGTTGGAACAGCTGATGAGTTGAAGTTTGAAGCACCATTTTACATCTTTTCTCTCAATCCTCTAACCTCTAGTCCGTTACCCGTGTTGTTATGTAAAAACCAATGCTGTTAAGTAAGTGAACAATGCCGTTAAGTGAATCTTTTCAATTATAAGAACTGAACTGAAACGGCCAGTTTAATAAACGTTTGTAGAACAGTAAAATAGTGATGAATTGATGATACTGTTTTACCATCCCCAATAAATTGTTTCCCATCAGTCTTGCTTTTATTTCCTTACAAACAATTTACTCTTTTGACTAACTTGGTCAAACTATGATATAATACATCGTTAACAGTCTCACTGGTTTTGTTCCAGATGATCCATTGAGGCTTTGTATAATCCGGCAGTTAACTTGTCCGCCAAAATTTAACCAGGTGGGACCAAATGTTCATATTCGAAATTTGCAACGTTTCATGATGACTAAGTACAGATACAAGGAAGACACTGTAGACCCAGAAAAGCTGTTCAATTTGTGCATGGAACATCTTGAACAACAAGGTAAATGATTAATCTTTTATTTACCGTAAAGTATAAATGTTCCTTTTTCAGGAGACACATTTCACTGTGGATCTGTGTGAGTCTATTGTTTGGACGATTTGGGAGCGGACCCCATAAGATTGATTTTTCCATACTGTCAAAAGGTGTTACGTGTAAAAAAGTAGTAGATTAAAATAATAATATACAAACAGCAATGACCACTATACGAACAGATGTGATTTGTTTGTGCCTAATGGCCTTCCTTACTTTCTAAAGCTAGAGCCAGACAAATTCAAACAACAGGGTGACTATTGCATCGAAACTGGTTAAATTACTTGAACTTATCTATTTTTATTAGTTTCTCAAATTTATAATACAGGATTCTTTGTGAGGATGGAATGGGAAAGAGTCTAAACTGGCACAAGAAACAGAAACTTTTGAAAGAACAAAACAATCTTTTCAAATCACACTTTCCCTTAACTGAATATTCTTCCAAGTAATAGGGAAATATTCCACTATTTTGTTTGTATTATTAGTATATTACTCAAGACTATCTGTAAGATGTGTATATTTGAAAGATATTAACTCTCAAGTTCTAAGTTTGTAGCATATTGATTGCTTTATATATTTTTAAGCTATTTTATTATTTAGATTTATCAATTTAGTATAAGACTTTGTGACAAATGACCTTTCAAGATAATTTATGTAATATAATGTCAAATAAATAAATAATAATAAAAATGAATTCCATTTTGAAAAGAATGTGGCAAAACCTATTGCTTAGGACATATTCAACAGTTGCATACCTATCTGGAAGATTTGTTGCATCAAAAGCTAACTCAAAGTCACCTTTAACTAACAGCTTTACTAGTAGACAACTTGTAAACTCATGTAGGTACTGTATGTCAATCAATGCTGTTTCAGGTGTGTACAAAGCTGCTGTGTTGATGATCAAGCGCCAGCCACCGGAATGGTTCTTGGGCCGGCCTTATAAGGAGCTGTTGGACAAAGTCAGGAGCTGGTGGAAGGGAGGAGAAGAGTGCAGTGACGTCGAAGCAGTTAATGCTGTCAATATACTCTGTGAGTCCATTAAAACTGTATTTTACAGTAGGAGTAGAGGGGGTATCGCCACTGTTTTTTATTTTATTTACACCAGAGTCCCTCTAATCGGAATGTATGGCCGCTCATGGTTCCAAGTCAAAACCGATTTTCACGAAAATGCCGCTCGCCGCTCAGGTGAGTCATGCTTCAGTTTGGCTTAAAATTACAGGGAAACAGCAGCAAACATGCGATACGGAAGTTTTAAAACACTTCAGTCACCAGAAAAGTATGGGACCAAGTTAGGTTTAAGGTTTTTCTTTAAGGTTGTCAGATAGCAACAATAGTTGCAATACGTCTTGCAGGTAAGTATAGTTTACCATTTTCGACTAAACTGACTCATAAAACTGGGGAATTTTAATGAGGGTTATAAATGTGCCGCTTGTATCGTAGCCACCACTGCCACTTACGTGCCGCTCAGGTTACCGCTCGTATCGTACCCGAGGGCCTTATCCAAACGATCAATTGGGGAAGAAAGATAGCCGCCTCCTGTTGAATTCGGGCAACCTAGGCTCGTTTGAGCAGACCGAATGGTCCCCGGAATAAGTGTGCGATTGTCCTCACGAGTTCAGAAAGCGAATACAGGACAAAGTGCACTCGGAACAGCCCCAGTATGGTGTCTATGGGGCGACCCAGGCACAACATCGTGCGTTGCAACGAGACCCCGAGAATGGGGAACAAAGCTAAACTTATGTGATCTAAAATAGCGGACTGGGAAACTATAAATTTAATGTAAGTTTTATACCGATAAATATTCTGTGAATTTTACATTTGTTTCAGATAATATAGACAAACATCTAGTAATTTCAATTTTTTTCAAAAAGTATATTTGCGTCAACATTTCATTAATTTTGAATGCGATCGGGAAATTTGGAATAATTGCCAATAGCTTGTGGCAGAATTCATTAACGACGTTCTGTTAGTTCTCTTTTGAGGTAGGTAAATAAGAAGAACACGATTGTGGATGTGATCATGGGTGTTTCTACAATCACAGTAGATAAGCACGCACATTTTTGCTATCCTCCACTCCATTTACAGTCATACATAATAATAAATATTGTGTTTGTTTCTGGCCAATCTAAACATGGTAATTCAAGAAGGGTCCAGTCTTAATTAGTTTGAAGTTGTTGGAGTTAATGTGTATTTACACAGCCTAGACCTAAACCAGCAGCTGTGACATGGAAAATAAGGAAAAAATATGGTAAACCGGTTACAAATTTTAGGCTTTAAGTGCGTCTTCCATTAAAGACACTAATTCTTTAAATTTTAATATCATGGCCATAAATAAAATACTGCTACTATACAACTCTTAAGTATAAGCTTTGACTTCAATCAATCAATTTTCTTTATTGAGATTTCTTTAAGAAATACAATAGTGTCATACACATAGATTGTAATTTGAATTTTTAGCTTGCTTAACAAGGAGACTTCAATGGTATAAGATAAAGCAGTATTTGTATTCTCATAGGTTTCTTTTCACACTGTGACTGAGACAAAAAAAAGCGGAAGTGTGGAATTTCAAGGAATATACAAAATGCAGATGCACACAAGCACATTGTTCACATTGTTTTTGGTCGCTGAGAAGGCTAAGCATTGCCTAGGGGTGGAAGGCTAGTATTGTAAGTCAGTAAAGAAGACGTCACTAATGCAAGATTTGAACTAGCTCGCTTGGCCATGATGGGAGCAATGGAGACCTTTACTTTACAGAAGATACTTCTTTAATCCACCCCAGCAGCTGGTGACAGAGTATATTTATCTTATAACATGTTTGTTTTTAGGTACGGCGTTAAGACCACAAGACATTTTATGTCCTAAGGTTCAAACTGAATTGAGAAGAACCCTCAGTCTCCTGGAAGATATCTTGCTTGATGAATGGAGTAAGTAGAGAAATACAGTATAGTCAACAAACAATACAGTAGAGTTAATCAAAACTGTACGAGACCCAGCACTAGAACACACTTCCCATTACTTATGATATTTGGAACTTTCTGAATGACTTTTTTGGTAAATAAAAAAACTATTTAAAATTCCCAAGTTACTCTAATGGAGAAAAATAAAACAATTGGAGTTTGCTTGTTTATGGAAATACTTTGATCAAATTTGGCAAATTATTTTTTTTCTCTCCATACTAAATGTTTTCATTTCAAACACATTTTCTCTTCCTTTTAGCAGCAAACCCAAGCACTCTGTAAATCGATATAGGCTAATATAAATCTTACTAATATTATAAATCTGAAAGTTTGTGTGTTGCTCAATCACGCATAAACTACTGGACGGATTGGGCTGAAATTTGGCATGATGATAGCTCACATTCCCAATTAACATTTAGGCATATTCCTTATCTCAAAAATCCTTTCGGGCTCCGCCCCAGTGGGTCTGTAGTTCCCCATGTTAGCCTTATGAGTATTCATATTTAAAGGGAATTTAAGAATTTAGTCAGCGGTTTCAACTAAAAAAGTTGGTTCTATAATATGCAATGCAATAGCATTAAAAAGTTATAAGGTTTTCCAACAGGGTGCAGCACTATTATTATTTTGTTTGTGCATATATGACAACAGCTAATTTGAACTAAGCAGCAACAAAAAGCTGTGATACACAATTAGAACTGTCAAAGTAGGATTGTTTACAGTTAGGTTTGAGTTTTTAATTTAATGAATAATTTGTGATATTGTGCGAATGTTTGATAATTTATTTTTTTATTGTTTAGGTGCAATGGTAGAACATTATGGCAATGGTAGATGTGTTATACTATATCATACCGTAAATTTATGAACCAAATTTTATCAAACTGTGTCCTCCCCCCATTGCAAACTTGAGTATAACTGCAATAAGCATTTTATACTTATATGCCAACCCCGTACGAAGGACGGGTGCTCTGCTAGTAAGAAATAAATATGACTTGTTTAGAGAAATTTAAAATTTGTTCAGGGAAAGGCTCTAGGCCAGGATTTGGAATTTGTCTGATTGGATTTTAAGTAAAATATTTCTCTAAACAATAGAAAAAAAAGGATAGCTACAAGTTATCTTAAAGAAGTGTAGGTAGGCTGAATAAAACGGGAGCGTTTCATAATGTCCAAATTTCACAAAGCCCAATGTTAAAATATCAAATAAACAGAGCGTTTCACAAGGTCCAAATTTCACAAGGTCCAACGGTACAGTCTGGGCCAGAAGTCTCTACAGTGGTTGTCACGGTCAGATAGCAGGCACCGTCCGCCGACGCTCAACTACTGATTATACGTGCATTTTAATGATTGAATTCGGACTATGAGAATGGTGGTTTATGAAGAGTTGCATGGGGTAAAAATTGGGTTTTCCCATTTTTGACCCTGAAAAATCAAAGAATTTTGCAATTTCTTTCTAAACCATTTTGTAGAGTAAAAAAAAAAATAGTATATTGAAGCGTTGTTATGCGCCAAATAGTTACAGAGAAAATTACGAATTATTGTAAATTTAAAATTACCATGTTATTCTTATGGAGAATAAAAAAAAACTGTTGTGGTTTGCTTGCTTATGAATATACTTTGATGAAATTTGGAAATGCTTGCATTTTATACTAAACTATTACCATAAAAAAAATACCCTCCCTGTTGCAGCAAACCTAAGTACGGTACTTGTTGTTAAACTAATGCTATTTTAATAGGGAATAAATGTGATCATTTTAAGGAGATATTCTAGTATAAATCAAATAAGGGAAAAGGAAATTCGATTAGTCTGCAGGTTTGCTGTAGAGGGGGTAAATACCACTATTTTACACTCTTTAAACGTATCTCCGGACCCACAATGATGTTTTGTGACGCGCGGTAACGAACAACACAATAGTAGTGCCTACTCACCGAACCACGGCAAGCTCTGCAGCGACTTCTGGCCGAGACTGTACCGTTGGACCTTGTGAAACGCTCTGTTTATTTGATATTTTAACATTGGACTTTGTGAAATTTGGACATTGTGAAACGGTGATTATTTGAATGTCATAGTTTTGAACCTTATGAAATTTGGACCTTGTGAAACGCTCTGTTTATTAATATTTTAACCATTGGACCTTGTGAAACGCTCTGTTTATTAATATTTTAACCATTGGACTTTGTGAAATTTGGACCTTATGAACCTCACCCAATAAAACATAGAGAAGAGACACTGTAAACACAATATTTCGTCAAGTATAAAGAAAGTAATCCATTCGGACAAATTGAAATTCTCTTAGTCTACAGGTTTTCTGTGGAGAGGAATTTTTTTGTTCTAATAATAGATTTAATTTCCAGCGCCAATTTGGATGCAAGAGGTGATTGTAAAGAACATCTGTCTCCTAACTAGACTCAACCATGTGGAGTGTTTGAAAACTATCGTAAAGTGGAAACCGTCAGAGGTCTCTGAAGACGTGGTGGATCATATTCATCATGATGTGATCAACAAACAGACCAAAGAATGGTGGACTTCAGCAGTTGGTTCTTCGTTTCTCAGGCCTTCGTAAAACCTCTAGTCGTTCATAGGATCCTCAAACGTGATAGAACTGTACAGTTAGTGCAATAATTGTTTTTATGTTAATGTTTTTTTATTTCCAGAAAATATGTAAAGTTTGTTTTTATTACTGATGTATAATTTTAAGTATTATTTTATTGAAATTTTTAGGAAACACACCGTAAGAGTTTTATTTGTTTTTTAATGTGGATGAAAACTACATATTTTTCAAATATCTAAAATCTTAGAAGGTAGTTGAAGTCAAGCCTTTTTTGTTATTGGAGAAATTAAAATGATACTATTTAAATGGGGGTTGACTTAATAGTTTGTAATTTGGTATTTTTTACCGCACAAATTGTAAAAATGATACATAAACCAATAGTTTAGGAGTGATGGCAGTATTTTCTTTATATAAGCCTAAATAGTATAATAATTACCCACCGTTGTAAACATCTAGTTCATAAACCCTGTTAAATACTGATTAGTTGGCTTAATGAAGCTTCAATGGTACATTTGGTGCTGATGATTTTTGTTATTCTGTCAAAAATAACTTGATCTTCATCCAACAAAACTTTATAGTATTATACGGTATCGAATATCGACACCAGTCATTGGTATCGACAAAAAAATTAACTGTACAAAAATACCGCTATCACAAAATAAGTGTTAATTTTTTCCTCTATCAAAATTGTGTGATAAGTGGGTGAAATTTGGATAGCTTACCTGGAAAAATTTTTAAATGCACAGTAAAATGTCACCACGGTTCTTCATCAATCTATCCCTGAAAAGTCCTATATTTAGGATTAAGTATCATTGTTATGTTATGTAGACTTTAATTTGGTTTCTATTGGCTTAAGACAAAAAATTTCTCTCGTAAGTAAGTAAACTTTATTTAAAAATTAGTCTGTTCAAACAAACAAGGATAAGTTTTGCGTTGTTTTCAAAATTACATGAAAGCTTAAAAAATACGCCAAATTACACTTAGGCCTATAGACTTACAAATATATTTACACTTGTACTGTTTACTCACAAGACGATAAATAAATATAAAAGATGGTAAATGGTGGTCGATTTCGATTGGACTCTCCAATCATCATCAGACCATACAGGCGAATGACAATTATCAAAATGGCGCTTCCTTACTATATACCATTGGCTACCAGAAAACCGGCCAGTAAGTTTATATAAGTACAACTGAAATCACAATTCACTTGTTCATTAATTAGCTTATTTCTATTTTAACATATTCCCTCGTAAATTTACAATTCTTCCCAAGCATTCATCACATATCCTTTCATACAATTATTTAAAATACATACATTGCCTTCCATTTTCTGTAATGAGTGGCCATTTCGTAACAAGTGCTCATTTGATCTTTCCGGTTTGTTTTTTGTCCATGCAGAGACATGGTTTTTGAAACGTTTAACAAAGTTTACATTTTGTCCTATGTAAAAGCTATCACAATCGTTACAATTTATTTTGTAGAATTTCCGAAGCGTCAAATTTTTTATATTCTTCTATTTGCGGATGCAATACTTTACTCAAGGTGTTCTAAGCTCTGAAGGCTATTGATATTCCATATTTCTTGAATTTTTAGGGGTCCTTTGTGTCTTGGGTCCCGTGTAACTAAATGTAGCATATCTGGTGTTTTTTTCTTTCATTTCTTCCAACTCCTAACTTTTTCTGGCTCTCAATTTTTTGTTCTCGTACTTCTTTTGTTTTTACTTCAAATCCGTTAGCCGCAATCTTCTTTATGGTGTTCAATTCCTTACTCCTACTGGCTTCATTAAGTGGAATTATTAAACCTCAGTACAACATAAATCTGAAGGCTGTAGTCTTGTGGGTCGTTGGATGAATAGAGCAGTTACTAATCATTGTGTCCGTTTGCGTTGGTTTTCTGTAGATTTCAAAGTCTATCTTGTATTCTTTTCTTTTCATTGTTACTTCCAGGAAGTTGATTTTGTTGTCTTTGAATTTGTTAAAAACGTGAGGTTTGGGTGTTGACTGTTGAATATCTGCATCATTGTATCGTGCTCTTTCTCCTGGGTTTGCCTGAAAATAACAAGAATGTCGTCCACATATTTAACATAAAGCTTTACATCATGACTGAGTTTTCTAATATTTCTTTTTCGTGATGTTGTAAAAATACTTCTGATAAAATTGCCAAAAGTGGGCTTCCCATTGCCAAACCATCTGTTTGTTCATACAACTTGTTGTTTTCAAAACAGTTGTTAGCAGTTTTACAATCTGAATTACTTATTCATTTTCTAATCCATTATGTATAAGCCTACATTTGACAAGATACACAGTTTCAGTTACAGGTATGTTGGTGTACAGATTTGAAATATCAAATGAGACTTACCTACTGTTTTATTCTATATCTATGTTCTTAACACGTTCTTACTTACTCTTACTCCCATGGCTATTTGTACCCTAAGTGGTACTTAGCCTCACCAACACACTGCCTCCACGTCGCCCTGTCTCGTGCGGTATCTTCATAACTTCCATTCTGGCCATAACTTTCTTTACTTCATCCGTCCAGCGTTTCCTCGATCTCCCTCGTGGTCTCCTTCCCAGTGGGTCATTTTTCCATATTTGATAAAGTGTGCTAGTTTCCTCTCTTCTAATGATGTGGCCCGTCCAGCAAAGCCTCCTGCGTTTAGCCTCTGCAATTATATCTGGCTCTTTGGACAGGTCTCTTAGTTCCTGATTATGTTTAATTCTCCACACATCTCCTTCTTTAGTAGGGCCAAAGATTTTGCGCAGGACTTTATTTTCAAAAGTAATAAATTTTTTCTCCGTGTTTTTATCCATAATCCAGATTTCAGCTCCATAAAGAAGGACAGGTCTTATGATAGTTTTGTAGATTTTAAGTTTAGTGTGATGAGACAATAATCTTGATGATAATAATTTGTTTAGAGCATACATACTTCTACTGGGTAGGTTTATTCTATGCTTTATTTCTATGTGTTCCTCACTTAGTGAGCTGACAATAACTCCTAAATATTTAATAGACTCTACTTGTTCATACTGTTGTTCTATTTCTGTCATGTTCTCCTCGTTCTCTGCTCCCCTTCCAAATCTGACAAGTTTTGTTTTGTTGTCATTTATTTTCAGGCCCACTGCTCTTGTTTCTCTTTTAAGGATTTCAAACATTTCCTGGAGTTCTTCTCTGGTCTCTGCAAACAGTACTACATCATCTGCAAAGGCGAGCACGCTTATCTTCCTTCCAATTCTTATGCCATTCTTCAGCTCTTTAAGTGCTCCCTCAAGAGCTATATTGAAGAGTGTAGATAAAATAATATCTCCCTGCCCAACTTCTGTTTTTATGTCAAAGGATGTTGAGTAGTCATTTTCTATTTTAACCTTGCTCTTAGAGTCATTAACACTTAAAGTAGCCAATTTTATTAGTTTATATGGGATTCCAATACTTTCCATTCTATCCCAAATTTTTTCCCTATGAATGCTATCATACGCTTTGCTAAAATCGATAAATAGGCCATAGAAAGATTTACCAACATCCCATTATTTAACTATTGTTTCCTTAAGAATGTATATATTTGATCTGTTGTAGACCTGCCCCTTTGAAAACCAGCCTGGTGCTCTTCAATTATTTCCTCTGTGTATTCCTCAAGTCTCTTCTGGAGTATCTTTGACATTACCTTAATAGGAAGTACTTAGTAATGATATTCCTCGGTAGTTATTTGGGTTCCATTTATCACCCTTTTTGTGGATTGGGATTATTATTGCATTTCTCAAATCTTCCAGTACATTTTCTTACTTCCATACTTGTAATATTAATTGATGTGGCCTTTTTGCTAGCTCAGGTCCTCAAGCTTTCAATATTTCAGCATTTATTCTGTTGTCTCCAGGGGCTTTGTTTTTTTTTTCATATTCTTAATAGTTTCCTGTACTTCTTCTACAGTCGGTGCTTCAATGTTTGGTTGAACATTCATCTATTTTGGAGCATTCACTCTCTCAGTGTCCTCATCTCCATGTAATAAATCTTGAAAATAATCCTTCCAGATATCTAACACTTTGAATTTCTCAGTGACAATTTCTTCATTTTTCTTAACACCATAAGAATTGGGAATATATCCTCCAATAAATAGTTTGACTGTCTTATAGAAACTTCTAGGATTCTTATCACTTTCGTTTTGTGCTTTCTTAACACGTTCAACACAACAAATTTATAACTGTTATTTACATCGTAAATATATTATTATTCTAGATCGTTGCTGAGCTTACTTGCTAACATTTACAAAACATTGATGGCAGGGGCAAAGTTAACTAAGGGTCTGATTGGTACATTCTTCTTTTGTATTTTCAGGATCCCTTTAATCACCGGTGCTTTAAATTTAGGATGTTCATCTTCTGTCAACATTCTTCGGGAATCACTCTGGTGCACTTCTTCTTGACATCGGACAGCTCTTTTTGGTACCTCTGAGTAGGGTCCTTGATTAGCTCTTTCCACGTTATTTTCTTTGATAAATTCTTCAATCTTTTTTATTATATTCTTCTTTTCCTAATAACATATGGCATTACTTTTGTTTGCTTTTACTGCAATTGAGCTGGTCTCTTCCAGTTTCTTCTTTATTTTGTTGCATGTCTTCAGTTCTTCATTTTTACATTTTTTCAGATCCATGGGTCCTTGGCTAGTGAAAGCGTTTGATGTTACTTACATCCAAACGGTTTAATGGTCTGCATCTTTGATTGATTTTGGGTTGGGATTTTTCGTTTACCTTTGTTTGCCTCAACTTCAGTGGCTAGTAGTTTGTTTTTGTCTTTCTTCTTCATTGTGAAATTGTGCTTCATTCTGTAGTTTAATGTTTTGGTTTCTTCTTCGCTGAATTGAATGTTTGTAAGGTTGATCACTCTCTGCTGGAAATTGTGTCCTGTACTCGTCCTTACCAAGCCTTCGTTGTCTTTATTCTTCTCTGCAAGTTATCAAATTTGTTGTTAATTCGGGTTTTGCTCCATTAGGACAAAGGATCGCCAAAAAATTTAATAAATATTGAGTATCAATAGCCTTCAGGACTAAGAACACCTTGAGTAAAGTATTGCATCCGCAAATAGAAGAATATAACAAATTTGACGCTTCAGGGATTTTACAAAATAAATTTTAACGATTGTGATAGCTTTTACATAGGACAAAATGTAAACTTTGTTAAACGTTTCAAAAACCATGTCTCTAGTTTTCTGGACAAAAAACAAACCGGAAAGATCAAATCGGCACTTGTTACAAAATGGCTACTCATTAGGGAAAATGGAAGACAATATATGTATTTTAAATAATTGTATAAAAGGAAATGTGAAGAATGCTTGGGAAGAATTAGTCCAGGCGCTAAACGGGTTGAGTATGCACTGAAAGTCTGACAAAATTTGACTTTTGATTATTGTTGGGGACATCTAGTAGATGAAAAAAATCGATGATGTCGCATTTCTAGGGTGGTCACAACTCGGGGGGGAGGGGGGGAAGTTGCGCGGGTCATCGGTTTACGTTTCCGAGTCTAACTCACAAACGGTTAATGATAGAAAGGTGAATTAAGCGTCTATCTACGCCTAAAGATATTGTCTTTTAAAAAGATTATTACAACCTTTCTTCTATCTCTTATACTTTAGGCGCTAATCAACATTTATTGCAAAAAATAAAATTTAAAAATACTTTAAAATGAAATATCGGAAATATTGTGCTTGTTTAGGGCATGTTACAAACTATTTATGGTTAGAAAAACTAACAAGTAGTACAACAACACCAAGTTTAAAGAAATCCGTGCAAAAACAAAAGAGCTACGTTGATTTCAGTAAGAGTAAACGTGGGAAATTCGTAGTAGTATCGAGGCGCGCATGGATGGTACACGTAGCCCACAGTCAATATAGGTTTGATGTTGTAAGTAACTATGGGAAAGCTGAATTTGTCTATGCGTTAGACCATGTTGAGATTATCATTTTCCCAAAAGTCCCCACTCCTACCCCTTTGTTCTTTCCTCTACCCCCCCCCCCCTTTAGATAAATTTACAGTCTCTTAGAAATTAAGCTATAACT